ACAATGTGTATCTTGGCGAAAAGCTTTGCAATTGTTCACCCAGAAGTACATGTATGTTTTATGTGTACCTAGATGTGGATATTTGATCAACCAGATGGTAGTGGTCGTGTTCTTAAATCCCGCTGTGGTCACAGTGGACCTCCTTCTAGAATACGCTTTCATGGTTCACGTGGTCATACAATACTTAGTGCAGGTTAGTTCACTTGTTGTACTGTAAATTACTTATTTATGATAGAAAATGATGTAAAATGTCAGTGCAAATCAAATGAACTTAAATGTCTGGCCAGGATTGAACCAGATCGTAGCTAATTACGTAATATACTACAGTACTTCGACGTTTAGGATTCTGGGTCTAGGGAACCCGACACAGTTAAACGGAAGGGTCAAAATGTAACAAAAAATACGGCGAATACCAATTAGGGCCAAGATATGTTCAAGTGTCAAAATGACCGCTGATGGCAGTTAAAACGTTCGTCACGAATTAAAACATCAAAACCTCAAACGTCATGTAGATATATCGTAATCTCTTTAAAATCTCATGTAAATATATTGTAAATCGATTTATTCTAAGGTCAAGACAGAAGTTTAAGAATAACATCAACCATTCGTGATTCACAAAACTGTGAACTATCGCAAGGTACCCACAGTATTTTCGCCATTTTTGCTTTTACTAAATCACATTTTCTGTATTTAATCAAATTTCAAGTTTTAAGGTCGAGTCAGTCTTTGTTATCATAAAGAATCGTAAGATTTTTTGCCAAATTAATCTAACAAAACATATCAATTGATCTGTAGTTGTCAGTTATGAAAACGCTGATAAATCTGTTAAGTATAGTTCAATGTTTTCATATTAGGTTCATTTCTTAAAAAATCAAAGAATCTTGGAGTGAAAATGGAAAACCTCAAGTTACCAATAGTAACTGATTTTGCCTCCGGTAAGGATCACACATTCCGTTAGACATTCAAGTTTACCAGACATGCATGCTTTAAGAGAGATCTCCAGAACCACCTTAAATGGAGTGGATTTAAGTCTTCCACTCACGAACTAATGGGCAAAGATGCAAAACATCTTTTTTAACAATGGAATGGAATTTTTTTTATTTTGCCCGTTAAATGTGGAAATAAGATTCGACAGATGCAAAGGCGGAGCAAAATGTCGTTAATGTTTTGATGCTTATTTGCACATAATATTGATGAAAATAACAAGTTTTTACTATATCTTGTAGAAATGATTATCTGTATGCGTACTTTCTGAAAAGTCAAGAAATCACCCAATTCGCCATCAATATGTTTTGAATCTTTTGTAGAAGAAACACGACAAGGAGACTGGGATGGAATCGTGACCTGTCATTATGGAACTTCTCAAGTCCGCACGTGGAATTTTCAAAATAAATGTATTGGAAAGCATTCTCTTGAACCAAAACATGAAGTAAACGATTCTGTTGCACTGGTGAGAATTATCCGCCATTTGAAGTCTTATTTGGGGGGGAGGGTTGAGAGGTTAACGTCTTCTCTCAAACAAGCTTATATTTTAAACATGAATTTTTTCCCTCGTCTTTTTTTATTTATAGGAAACTCTCAAACTTCTCTTAAAGGACTTTAACTAGCTCTAAAGAATTAGTAATATACATGCGATACTCATAAGTTTGGAAAATGATAAGGTGTATAATATATATTGCAATTTTTCCATGTCTTTAGCTTTTCATTTTTTAGTGCGCAACAATAAGTTCGTGTGGAAATTTCACAATCATTGGCCATTCTTCTGGACATGTTGATATTTACAACATTCAGTCAGGACTACATCGTGGCTCCTTAGGACAAGGCAAAGGTACAGTATGTGTAACATTAGCTACAGTATGGTAATGTTTTGTTTGTGCATTGTTATTGAAACGTGTATTGTTTTGTTTAGCCCACGAAGGAATCGTTCGTGGCGTTGTGATCGATGGTCTTAATCAACAGATTATAACAGCATCATCTGATAAATCAGTGAAGGTAGTGTAGAAATGTTTTTGATACCGTGATACTACGTCTCTATAGCACGACATTGACTAGAATTACTGCTTTATAGAAGGAAAAAAGATTTCGCTATTTAAAAGCAGAATTTCCTTCTTAAGTGAATAAAAATTCACCTCGTTTCTAACTTACCCTGACGGGTGCAAAAGGAAGAATTTGAAAAGAAGATCAACATTTTTTAAAAACAAACTTTTTAGTTCTGGCATTTTAAATCAAAGCGTCTTCAGGCGACGTTGAGACTCGACGTTGGTGTTTCTCAGATAGTTTTGCACAGGGAGAGGTAAGATTACGTCAAATGTTATCATCCGTCAACCGAATGCCACTTAGAGTTCATTCTCACCTTAATTTTTCCTGTATTTATACTTATTTGATATAGTAAATGTCCTGCAAATTAGAATTTCCCAAATCATAAGCACCGTAAATGTATCTTTCCCACTTCATGTTTTAGCGCACTAATGGCTTTCGCATTGGATGATTTCACTATTAAAATTGTTGACACTGATATCAAGAGAGTTGTACGTCAGTTTTCAGGTCATCGAAACCGAATAACTGATGTGGTAAGCTGACATGGTTTTATTTACGTCTTGTGTATTATGTTTTCAATCCAAATTGCTTTCAAGCAATTATTGTACTTTTTCTCAGAAATAATGCACTTAGATTTAAACTGTTGTATTCATGTTGAGATTTTGATGTCGTATTTTCTGCGTTCGATAAGTCAGGCCGGTAAAAGCAACGTCTAAATACACCCTTATTGCCTGGGAACCACTTCAAAAGACGCATGGCGGTTAGCTTACAATTAAATGAAGCGAGTGTACCAGGCAAAATTTTGTGACTTCATTATAAGGTTAATAGGAACGAGATATCTTTCTTAGGCATTCAGCCCCGATGCAAGATGGTTAATTACGTGTTCTCTGGACTCAACTATTCGAACATGGGATTTACCTTCTGGACGGTAAATACCTTTCTACAGAAATAAATATTTATCATAATTTATGGATGTCAAGATGGGTTGTAAATTACTCACCGATATTTTACTTCAAGTATTTTAGATTGCTTCCTTGTGGAATCACCTGCTACAAGCTTATCAATATCGCCTGTTGGAGATTTTCTTGCAACTGCCCATGTTGATGATGTTGGAATATATTTATGGTAGGCAAAATTAGAATATTGGCTCGCACGATTTTCACACAGCATGGACTACTAAAGGCAGTGCGTGACAACTTTTCTTTTTTTGGGGGAAATTATTAGGAATATCCTGAAACACATATTGTAATTTTTTACAATGGCATTATTTTTTGTACAGGGCAAACAAAGCACTCTATTCAAACGCTTCAATCATTCCACTTCCTGCGGATTTTCAACCATCATTTGTTGACTTACCATCAGCAAAAACCAGTTTCGGCGAAGACGGTAAGTCTGAACATTCTTTATTGTGAATAAACCTGAACAGTAAAAAAAATAAACTGTATGTAAAACTGGCTGATATTTTTCATTCAATCGCCATAAAACGAACAACTCTAATAATTATGTTTAGACGAGGATGAAGATTTAAAATTCGTTGAAAACTCGAATGAAGAAACTGTGATGGAAGAAGAAATGATAACAGATGAAAAATACAAATCACCAGATCAAATCTCTTCTGAACTCATCACGTTGTCTTTACTTCCGGAGTCTCGATGGAGAACTCTGTTGAATCTTGATGTGATCAAAGTAAGGAATCATTTGGGATGACAAAGGATCAAAATTCATTCACTACGTATCGTGGTGTCGATTTTAACTTCATTAATTTGTTGTTTTGACCAATTTGGGATACGCAGCTTCTCAGCTGAGGTCATTACATATGTAACCATCACCCTCGAAATTATTTTGCCCTCGAGAACTCAATGAATCTAAATTTCTTTTCATAGCAACGTAACAAACCAAAAGAACCGCCAAAAGCTCCTAAATCAGCGCCATTTTTTCTTCCAACAATTCCTGGGGTTGACTTGAAATTTGATGTTGGGAAAGACGACACAGAAACAGCGGTAGGATAAAGTCTGTTGTCATATATGTACATAGTATGTACTTGAATGTATTTGACTGATTAAAATTGAAGCATTATAATACACACCGTAGGCGAAAAATATTCATCAGGAAATGCCTATATAATCCTCTTCTTAACGAAAACACTGATATTAAGTTAATCATCATTAACAATCACTTGTCCTAGGCTCCGTCTAAGATGCGTCATATCACAAACTTTACGGAATATTCCGAATTCCAACAGCTACTTGTCGAGTGTCGCGCTAGACAGGATTGTAAGTAAAACTTTCTGACGTCCATGTCGTGATTTACGTCAGTAATTTCAATGTTAAGTACATGGTAGAGAAACGTAATGCAATAAATTGAAGCAATATTGATGTACCTTGATATTTCAGACCAGCGGCTGTCAAGCAAGTTAAAAGAACTGGGACCATCGGCCATTGACGCTGAGTTTCGTTGTTTGGCGCCAGGTGCAGGAGGGGATGTCGTCTTAATGGAGAATATGATGGAATTTCTAATCACTCAGTTAGAGTTACGGAACGACTTTGAATTAATACAAGGTTATATGGCCTTATTTCTCAAGGTATAGCTTGAATGGTTTATTTATACATACAGTACTGTTGAGGCTCAGATACGACAGTTTTTAGGTGAATCAGTAATTGTACTGTAAGAGTTTTGTGATATGTGGTGAACAACTTTAGATGGAATGCCGCTGACATCACTGCCGTCATGTTGGAAAAAAGTGATATTTTGTTTGCAATGCGAATACTATCCAACATTGCAAAAATCAAAAGCGATAACACCACTGAAATTCTTCATTGCAGCTTCACGGGGATATTATTTCTTCGGAGAGTAGTTTAATCGAACGCGCAAAAAGACTTGAGGAACAACACAAGAAATGTTGGGACTTTCTGCTTAACCAAAATTTATGTCTGGTCGCGTATTTCAAGAGTGCTACAATATGATGCAATCATTCATCCAATGTAAGTTTGTATTTTGTCGTGCGCAGTTAATAGAAATAGAGTACTATTGTGTCTAGTTAACGGGCTTATAGCATTGTGGAAACAATTGCATGTATTTTTCGTGCTTATTGTGTCCTGTACAGCTGTGTAATAAAGCGGTGCCTAAGATAGGGAAGCTGAGAAAACCACAACATCATTCTCACATAACACACAGTCTATAAAGGCAGTGGTTGCATTCAGTAGCAACAATCAATGAAGCTTTGAATACATATAAGGAAATAATGCATAGAAAATAATGCATAGAGACAATATAATATTTCAAATAAATATTTATTAATAAATAGTTCCCGTATTTTTAAAACTGACACCCTTCACGCATTTACAACAGTACAGTAGTTCAAGTGGCAGCAAATGGACTTAACACACGAAAAAGTCAATTTTCTATATGATCATGCAACTCCAGTTATTTTTACGTTACATTTGGAGATGTAAACAGAAGTAATAGACGCATAAACTTTACTATCTTCTACATCAATTATTTTGTTCTAACACCGCGTCAACTTCATTCCAATCAATATCTCCAACTTCGCTTGTTCCTGAAAAATCATCCCCAATTGCTGCTTTGGCTTCCGCCTGAATAAATATACAAAACCGCATAGGTCAACAATATCGGGTAAACTGTACTAATACACGTGGACGTTAACCACAAAACGTTGCTTGGGGACATACCAAAAGTGCAGCGACTTCATCAGACATTTCTAAGTTGTCCTCTTCATTCACTTATAAAAAAATGAAAAAAATGTGATGTCAGTTGAAGGAGATAGAATCCCAAATACTATTTTGGTGATTAGAAGTCCAAATTTTGCGACATTCAAAATTGTCCCTCGAGGTTGCTGTTTATATTGATTGACTTGAGAAATTTTGTATTCTGAACGAAGGCATATATACGCATACCTGATAAAATGTCAGGATGTTTCTCATGTGAATCTTTCGCCTTCTCCATTCGATCTACTTTGAAAGTATCCAACATTATTCTCTTTTCGTCAAACGGGCTTGAATCCCTCCATCTGCCTTCCATCGAGTTCCTTCGGTTTCCGTCGGTTTCCAACAAACTGCGACGACTTTGTTTGTTTTCTATGACATCGTTTAACAAATCTCGTAGTTCGCTATCTCCACTGAGCAGACTATCAATATTATCTAATCTCTGGAAATCAAGGGGGTCACCCAGAGACACATCTTCGAGCAATTCATCAACACGTGGATCTAAGGAATGGTCTACCCCCGTGTATTGATGATATACTCTGGTTAAAATCAAAACTCGCTGACATCTTTTTTTGGTAACTTTCGTAACTTTTTCTTGTGATAAACTGTCTTGCAGACTCCTCAACATCATATGCATACTCTGGTAAATCGCTGTTTTGCACGCTAAGCTCCGTATTCACTGAACTGTTTAACCTTGTCAAGCCAGCCTGACTAGGAATGGTTCGAGTGTTAGAAAGTTCTCTCGTTGATTTCCAGTTTGCTTTCTCAGTTGGTTTCTTTCTTCCTTTTTTACGGTCGAGATTTCTGTTCTCCTTGTAGCGATTGTTTGCCTTCACCCGAGTTGTTTTCTTGCCGGTTTTACGCTGGGAATTTGTCACAGAATTTTGAGTGATTAAAGGAGCTCTTTTTGGTGCGTGCTCTGCAACCATTTCATTCATAAGATCGTAAGCGGACAGCAATCTTTCATCGACATGTTCCTTTTTTTGCGTTCTTGAGAAAAAAAAGATTGCACCTTGTTCAATTTTGTTAGTATAAGATGCAGTGAATGAACAAAATCGTGTCGGACAGAGTTCGACGAACGATGATACAAGAGAGTTTGAAAGAAGATATATATAATACCTTCGATTATCTTGCCTTTCTTTTTCGCACTTTTTAAGTTTCTTTGACGATAGCTGGACCTGAAAATCGATACAGTTTAACCAAACACAAGCCTGCATGGAAAATTAAATTTGATATATAAACCATCATGCAGACTCACTTTCTCTTTCTGTATTTTACTCTGGAATGGTTTGAACTCTGTCTCTCTCTTTTCATCCAGTTTCTGACTCCATTCTTTATGTCGTAGTTTTCTTCTTCTCGCCATCCACTCTCGCAACTCTTCTTGTTTCTGGGGGGTTTTATCGCGACTTCTAAAATAAAGAAACAAACGTAATACCATCGACCTTTTTAAGATTGAAGACTGGCTGGTGTACAAGGTAGACTGGCATCCTGTTTTCACAGATGTCGCTGAAAAATGTAATCGTATACTGGTGTCTTAAGAGCTGCAGACTGTTATTAACAAGAAGACATCATGCTAAATTACAAACCTGGTTTTAGCGACAGTTGGGGTCGCTGTTCCCATCAAAATTTCTGTCAATTTTTCTCTAGAGATATTTAATACGTCTTCAGGCGTTAGTGATAGCTTAAATCTATAACAAAGAAAGCAGATGTACACTCAATCGACAATAGCTGGGTTTATACGTCGCATTTTGGTCACGTCAAATGCATTTCAAATAATTGATAATGGGATGATGAAAAGATACTAAGCTAATCTTTTAAATGGCATACGTATCAGCTCCGATAGTTTCAGACAGCTCCGACTTCTTTACGCGTGACTCCGATATGTTGATAGGACGGCTTGATTCGCTACTCCTCCGGCTTTGAATACCCTCCCGTTTATCCTTATATTCCTCTGAATCACCATTGAGTTTCGTATCTGTAAAGTCAGTTTTAGAGCTTGACGTTTCGTCCGAGGCATCAGACATATTTGCAGCATTAGTCTTTATCGGCGTTTTCTCCCGACTGTTCTCCAGAGAATCAACGCTTCTCTCTTCTGAGTAAAAACGGAAATTTTTATTGAAGATCAGCATAACGTATAACGCGCAAGAACAATCGTAAGGTTAAACATGGTTGGAAATTTCATATATATATTTCCTGAACTCTGACTGTGAGTGCTGTTGTAACAAAATATAATGAAGTGTTTTAATAACATACGAAGTTTACCATTGCGATCATCGGGGGCGAAGTTTGTTAATTCTTCCATAGGTTTATTAACCCAAGGACGAGTGTTTAAAACTGATTTCTTATGCTCGTATTGAACATGACTGCTTTTCTGTGACATTTCGTTTTCATCCGTCAATTCACCATGATAATTGGTGTTCTCAGTTTCAGGAAACATCGCCATCCTTGTATTGACTTTAGCAGCGTTGCGTGTTTGCTTTCTGGTTCCTCCTTCAACGTTTTCATCAACATCTCTCTTCCACTTGTCGACTTTTGGTGCGTGATCAGTAACCCTGTTTAGATTCTCAATGGTACGTAGCAACTGTATGAATGAAGAGAGAGAGAAAGTCTTAATAATAGAATTGCTAGTATGATTACAGTATGCTCTCTTGACATCCATATGACAGCCAAAGACTGGTGGGATAACTTCTTCTTCTCGGCTTAAAACATATTGCAGGCTCTCACACATGTGTGACAGTGGCAAGGTATACTGTATTTTCCGTTGGTTATCCTTTATATGAATATACTTACTCTGTTTGACCTTTGTAAATCCTGTTCCATATTCTGGGTTAACTCCTCAATAGCATCAAACTGTTCATTCATTTCTTGCAGTTGCAGTGAGAGCTTTCCTTTCGAAATTCTTTGTGCTTGATTTGGAGTATTACCACGGCTAGTTTGCTGATTCAATCTGTTAAAAAGAAAGGGGGAAAACCCCAATAGGTTTGAAATGCACCATTTCACTTCAACTTAAATTAGTAATTTTGCATTCTGCACGGTGAACTGACCAACCTTGAGCTTTGGAAGTCCTTTGGAGAGAAAACAGCAACTGTTGTACCATCACCTTTTTCAATGTCATTTACCAATATTTTCTCAGATGTTTGGGACGTCGGTGACACGGGACTATAATTCTTTATACCTGAAGAACACAGACGTAACTACATGCAATCTCTAAAGGTCATAAAAATTACAAAACCTCAAACTTTGGTAGCACTATTAGCCATAATGAGAGTTACAGAGGTTCTCACAAAATAACGATTTTGGCGTGCAGGGCCAGTTCTATAGTCTCATCCACTTTAGAGACGATTCAATTTTATCCGTTAATATAAGATTAGAATGCCCATATGTTCGCAGGCAATAACTGATAAATATCTGACTGAATAGATCAATAGGACTAGAACATTGATAAATTTTCTAACCCTCAACATTAGGCGTGTTTTCATTCTTACGATAATCAATATCTTCTTTCTCTTCAACAATAGCTTCCTTTTTATCCTGTGTTTGCCTTCTCACATCCTCCTCTGTAACATCGACAACACTAAGAAACATTCTCGGTCCATTTTCTCGGTCTGCATCTTTAGACGATGAAGTGATTTCTGATTGCTTTTGATCGATGTCTTGAATATCGAGGTACACATCAGTTGGGACACGAGGGAAAAGACTGGTTGCCTAAGAAATTGAATTTTTAAAACCGTATACTTGTCATAAACTGCAATTCATAAGACGCTGCACTTATCAATTTAAAACATAATATCACAATTGAAATTGAATTAAAGATAAAGAAGGTAAACACGCTTAAAAAAGCACGCTAAAATGTTCATGTTTATGTAGTTTTGTTTAACCAAACTTACAGCTTTGCTCTCATGTTTTTGTATGTTATCTGTGTTAATGGCAACGTCACACGTGTCGATCCTGGCTGGCATATTTTTGTATTCTTTCTCTGTTTGAATGCTTAGTTCTCTAGTTTGAACTCTGGGTTTCCTGGTCTCAACAATAGGTTCAGTTGTTTCGTGTCGTGGACTAGAAAATGTTTCTCGAGCAACGTCCACCATCGTGTCAGTTTGAACAGAAACTGGAAAGCGAAGAACATTTTCTGTACCAACTTTCGCATCAATAGCTATTGACGGTTCCGGAATATAAGACGGTATTTCAGTGTGAATATCACGAGCAGACACTTGTGAAGGTCTGTGAAGACGTGAAGATGCTGTTGATGTTACATTGCTTCCTCTATGCGTCCTTTCATCCTTATGCGACATCATGGTAGGTATTTTCTTTGTACTTCCAGGTTCATTGTAATTCTTACTGGGTTTTGTTTCGAAATTCTCATAGCGTACCCCAGGGCTCAATATTGAAGATACCTCAGAAACAATCAGGTCATCATCGTTCGTTACGTCACGTTGAAGATCTCGAATGATGTCATTAAGTTCTTTTAACTTACGACGTCTTGGTTTCATTTTCTTGCTTTTGCCATTACGAGAAGCAGATTTCTCATCGTTAGACTGAACAGTTACATGCGTGGCATCACCTGCTGCCTCTTCAAAAGGACCATCTCTGGACGTTTTCTTTGAGAAAGGCGCACCAGTTGGTCTTGCGGTGACATTCATATACAGCTGGTTTCGTCTTTTTACCCTTAAACATATTTTAATACCAACAACTCGTTAAAACGACTCTGTTTTAGGTGAAGAATCGTTTTATATAGTGGTAAAAAATGTTTTATATAGTGGTAAAAAATGAATGTGAAAATTGATCTTCAAGAGTATTTCAAAAATGATTTACCAAAGTGAGGCCACTGTTCCGGCCACAATTTTAACCGAAATATTCTCAATAACTTTCGGCATACCTTGCTTTTGATCTTTCGCCTACTAATTCATCGTTGTCTGAAATTCCTTTATTTCTTCCTGATTTGTCTTTCTCGGGATCACCGGCATATCTACTTTCAAACTCTGGGTAAAGGTTAGGTGGGACCATATCTGTTTCAGGTAGGTAAAGTAATGGAAACTGAAAATCGTCATTTTCAGGTACTTGGACTAAACGAAAATCATCGAAATTTCTGTCTTCGTTGTCTCGTCTGGAGAAATGCAGGAAAGGAGTGTTTTCAAAATGCCTTATCATCGGTTCTTGTTCTGGGAACGATAAATATTCCGCCGGATCTTGAGTTTGTTCGTTATTACTGAGTTGTAATAGTGGTAGTTCTCTATCTGGAACTCGTTGTGGGTCGGCGTGTTCTGGCCAAGCAATCTTGAATGGTAATGAGTCTGGAGTATGGCTATGAACTTCAGTTGGAAATTTTAGAAGAGGAATTGTGAAAGGGTCGTCATTTGTGGGAGCAATATTCATTTTAGGATCTCTCGTGTCATTCGAATATTCAACATCGGATAGGTCTTTTGTGAAAACATTGTGTTTCTCGTGATCATCGCCTGTGTTTGATGCTTGTGCTTTCTGTGGAGGTAGAATGTAGTTCGCAGTATCTGGCTCTTTCATCTCGTGGTCTTCATTGCTAATGAAAAAGACGTCAAATACATCATATTTCCCTTCGCTGATTTTTAAAAATTGTTTGAACATACCTGGCATCAACTTGGTCTTTTAGTGATAACAAGAAAGGAACGTTATTCGGAGTTGGTTCTTCACTGCTAATATCACGTTTGATTAAAGTTTCTTCTTTCTTGTCCACAATATCTGTTGTTTGGACAGCAACACTAACTATTTTGTCTTTGATATTATCATGGGAGTCCACCGCCTGGTTTGTCAACGGTACCTCGACTACGGAAGGTTTCGTCCGGGTATTCTCAGTCACATGATCTTGTTCAATTTTCTCAACTTGTGTTCCTTTGTCACTGTTAACTCTCGGAGCAGCGTTTGACCAAAGCCAGGGTGGAGGGGGGAGTGTTGGATTGTACCAAATTGGCCATCCTGTAGCGCTTGGAAATTGAACGTCACTGACAATTGGTGGAAACACTTGAAAGGGATAGTGAGCGGACTCCTGTGTTTGGTTTGGTGCTGCAGCATTCAATATTCCACTATTATCATTGCTTGGACAAGTGTTTGGGACAAAAGCCGTTGCTTCGGAGAGTTTGAGCTCATTGATGTCAGGTGGGCGAGGAGAGTTTTCCACTGTATCGTGATGATTGGTGGATGATTTGTGATGTGATGTTTTACCCTCATCCGTAGAAGGTTGGTATATTTTTCCTTGATCACTCGTTGCTTGTTTGTATACAGGAGCTGATGATGTCTGACTGTCTCTATATTGTTGTTGAGATGATGCATACACAGGATCCTTCTTTGTTTTGCCACGATTCTTTCCAGAAGACGTGGAAGGTTCTTGCCTTATTTTCCGGTTAAATCGACTTTTCCTAGTATTGTTTGTCCTGTGTAATTCGTCCTTTAATAATAAAACAAATTAGGTCTAGACGTTATGTACATTCAACCTACATTGCATACATTCTCATCATATCAGATTGATTGTTTCAGTTACACATGCGCATTGTGCAAAATGATATGAAAATTAGGAAGCCGTAGCTTTTTATGAACGTGCCGAAAAACGCTTTATATGTCTGAAGCCTGCAAGTTGTTTCTATTGGAAGAAGCAAACATATTTGCATCGTTTAATCACTTACTTTGTATATGGAAGCACTTGAATTCTCTTCAGTTGTATTAACTGTAAAATATAGGATAGTATTGATTAATTTATCCTGTGTCAAAATTAAGAACATGGTATGACTTACTTGTCGATGACTGCGATCTGTGTTCAGCCTGTTGCGCCTGTAAAGTAAAAAAACCCACAAGAAATGGTTAAAAAAGCGTAAAAACATAGAAGTAGAACCCAATTCATTAAATTACCTTTATAAACTTTCTCATTTCAGATCTAATTATCCTTCTTAACAAATCCCCCTCATCGACAGGCTTCACTCGTGGCTGCTCTGCTGAATCGCAACTACTGCTTTCTTTTTGTACTTTTCTTTTGGTTGTTTTTCGATGTCTCGTCTGTTTATAGTTGCTTGCAGTTGTAACCGAACTATCCGAATTCATGTTAGCTGCGAGTTTCATTTTAACTGCAACATTATTACGTATCTGTCCAACACTAAACGGTAATGGTACAAATAATTCATAAAAACCTAGGATACAAGTTCTGTTGCGCTTGTTTCCCAACTCTGTGAAGAGTTTTCTCCTGCGACATATTGAAAAAGTTCTGACGTGTGTAAATTGGAAAAGTGTACATAGAACATCAAAAATGGTCAATACTATTTTTCAATCTTCCTTGAAATATTTTTATCATGTTGACCATTTTGGAAACCGTTTCGAAATTTACCTCAATGACTCAGAGGATAGCGACATGTCATCCACACTAAAGATTCTTGGATAGGCACCAACTACACCAGCTTCGTTAACATCACTTGCAGATACCATCTCACTTAAAGATCCATATTTCTTACCATTAACCTAGAAAAAAAATAAAGTCAGACATTGTCGTGATACCCTCGAACCTTCACGACCCAGTCGAGTCATCCTCGATTACTGATGACAGGAAATCATTGCAATGATACCAACTGCGTTGTTGCCCAAAAAATAAACTTACGATTTTAGAGTCGTCTTGAGATGTGAAAGAAAACAAAGGCATATCTCCGTCGATGGATCCAAAACTCTTCCACTTGCTACCTAATGAAGATGAGGTTGGAGAGAAGTTCTTATTTCTTACTCCAGACATACTTGCAATACCCCGCATTTCTCCTTCCGTTTGGTTTAATATGGGTGCGTGTATTTTCTTCAAGGGACGATTATGGCGACAATCGGCTTGTTCTTCAGTAATATTAGTATTACCTTGTGAGTCAGATCTACCTGCCTCGTCGTGATCAAGAATAACTGAAATATTTCTGATTCCTTTTCTCTGTCTTTCTTTTTTTCTTTCGGTTGCGCTCAATTGGCCGTTCGTCTTTACTCCCATAGTTTCATCTGTGCTATCTACAAATTTTTCCTGTGTCAAACTTTTTTCTACTTCGTGTTTCCTCATCTCCTGATTCTTTGTTCCTCTTTTGCGTCTTCGTCTTACAGTGTCACAATCTTGTGACCCCCTCTCACTAAAAGACTCCACATTTAGGAGATTTTGCTCATCCATTTTGGCATGTTTTTTGCTTTTTGCCTCCAATCCTTGTACCTCGCTTTTTTCAAAAGATTTTCCAGCTTCTTCCATGTTGTCCTCTTGCGAAACGGCAGCAAATAAAGAAGGATCATCAGCTCCCTTGCTGCTTACAAAACCTTGTAACTCTGCTTTGCCTTTTTCCACTTCCACTGCAGTCTCAGGTAGAACTTCACCATCCTGTTTTGACTCACCTTCAACCGGATCATCTTTCCTCATATTTAATGGCGGAACTCCTTTCTTAAAGGATCTTTTCTTCTTTTTTACACGGGATGGTTTCCCTCGCACACACTTCCCTTTTGCTTTGGCAAAATCGTTGTAATAATTCTCAAACAACCACAAGGTATTAACAACAAGTTTGAGAGGGAGCTGTACTCTGATAGCAGTCGGTGAGGTAGTCGTATTTAAAAATGAGTAACTCCTGTTGACTGCTGGATTTCCTTTCTGGGTTTCGTCTATCAAACACCAGCGTTTCAACCACAAGAGTTTAGGCAAAAACGCTTGTAATTCCTCGCTAAAGCTCGATATTTGAATTCTACGCAAGTCAATCAGACTATTGGTACGTTTTAATGGTGTATGCTTATTCAGGTCGTGATCATCTGATGAAAACAAACCACTTTCTGTTCTTTTCTTTATGTTTCCTACGTCATGAAAACTTTCACTCCGTTGGATTCTCAAGCTACTCTTTCCAGGAGCCTTTACCTTCCTCCTCGCCATTGTCTCCACTGAAGACAAGTCTGCTTCGAGTACCGGCATATCTTTATATGGAAGAATCAACGGTACTTTCTTGTAATCCTCGCTTGTAACATTCTTTGCTAAAGTGATGAGTAGAAAGGTGTCCAGGAAGCGCAGGAAAGCAAAATCATGTTGAAAGTCAAGATTCTCACAGAAATCAGGGAGAACTTCTAAGAATTGATTCTCAAGCTGCACAGGAACGTTTTTCTTCTCTTTTCTTTGTTTCTTACACTGCTTTTGAAATCGAACTGTAAGTGATTCACCTTTTTCAAACTCCTCATCATAATTGCGTATCTTTCGAGTCATTCTATTTAGTTTATCTGTGGTAGGTATAGTCATGGCGGGATCAGGAGTGTGGAAATGTTGTGCGAGAATATCAACAGTTTCATAAGTCAGAGGTGATTCAGAGAGCAAAGTGAGAATACCATCCAACACATCAGCGTCAGCATCAAGAAAATTAGAAAATGGCAACAATTTTTGCAACCACACTAACACATCCGTACAATGTTTGAAAACTTCTTGTCTTTCCTCGTCTTTTGAAACCTTGTTAAATAGAAGGTTCATTCAAGTTGTTAAAAGTAACAAAATAACCCCAAATGTACTGAGTCAGCACCGGAGTGAGTCGTTGAACTAAAAACTAGAATGAAAAATGCTATCCGAATCGTAATAATAAGTGGAGGAGTGATTTTGTGTTCTGAGGGAGGCAGGCTTTTTGAGGCCCGTGAATTTTTTTGAGCACGAACTGCATGGATATACTTGCATTAAAATATTCCAACCGAATTTCTTTTACCACTTAAAAGATAGATGAACTTCAACAGTGCAAAGTCACTTGCTGGGAGGTGTATGAGGTGTGTGATATGCAGTGATATAACATATTGCGAGAGTATAGCTTAGTACGTACTGGGGATAGATTCTGCTTCACTTTACTGTATTTTCGTGATGAAAGAGCAAGTTCGTTCCTCACATCAAGTAACCACATTAGGATACAGAATTCTTGGAAGCTTCGCGTTACTTCTCACAACATAAAATGAAAGTTATTAGAACAAAAAACAAAATACACGCAGAGAAATACTAAAAGAATAGTTCAGGAAAATAATATTTTTAGCTGTTATAGGGTAAACCTATAGAAAATAGACATATTTGTACTTGATTACGAAGTAGTGTTGACAAACCTGAATCCAGATTTTCGTAATCACGTGTATCAATGTAAACGCTGTTTGTACTGATAATTTCTTTAATAATAGTCGGCAATGCTTCAGCATGATCATCACTCCGGTTTCTTACAACATGTTTACAATATTCTTGAGCACAGTGCAGGAAACAACTTGAAGCTCTGTACATTGCTAAAATTTTCTGAACAATAATGGCGATCTCACTTCGTAAGGAAATTTCTTTGCGTGTTTCTTCACTTAAAACATCCTAAAAATATACCACAAAGATTGACCACTTAATTTAGGGAGGGGGGGGACATTGAGCACTTACTTATGGGATGGGGGGATTCGCAACCTAATATAGGGATGGGGGTATATTCTTTCACAATTTAATATGGGGATGGGGAACATATTCTTCTAATACACTTTCACACAATTTCAGTACGCGTCAGTCTTGTTGCTTGGTCTCGTTGGTACGCACCAAGAAGGAATCTTCGACTGTTCTTATTCGCAAATTTGTGAATGATGGTCTGACCTGATGATGATGTGGGTGTTATAATACGAGTAATGGACTTACCCCATCATTTCTTGCTGGCTGAGGGCAGTATAATGGTGGTGCAGGCAAATAAAGATCTTGTGGAACCATCCAATCAAGTTTTGAAATAATCTTTCTTAATATCACAATCAATTGTTTGATTATCTCGGGAACAAGGTTGAGTTCTGTAATCACGCTGGCTTCCAAAAGATTTCGCAGGTTGGATATACCTTCATCGTCAAATATCTCTCGTGTTCCATCAACAACATCACCTTCCTGGAAAAATATTAGGTAATTGGTTGAACAGTACACACCAATTGTCATTAAATGCCCCAGAAATTTGTAGCATTCATAATTTCCACGTGTTAAAAATAGAGATCGTTAGTAAAAGAAACATTTTGTAAATGAATGTTACCATAAAATTTCCATCAAGTTTCAAAATAGTATGTATTCTTTCCTTCATTAACCGTTTTGGTTCAGGCACCTCAATGGCCATCTTTGCATGATCATATGACTTCTTAACATATCGTTCGTTTCTCATTCGAAATTGCTCCGTCACAGACAAAAGAAATGCTATCTTCCAGTCCCCTAAACAATTTGCAAACCACGCGGCTTCTCCAAGTAAACCAGAAACAAGTAACATTTCCATTGTGTGATCAGCGGTCCAAAGATGTTCGAGTTTTTGTTGACTAATAACTTCTGTCAATCTTTGTTGAGAAAGATTCTTTATGGTAGAAGTGTGGGTTGAGGGGATGACATCTAGTATAGAAAGAATTAGTATAGTATTTTGAAGTTAAAGAAACCCTTTTCTTCCATCACGTGCAATATGTGATTTTGTTCAAACCAATGGTGAAAAGTAATCCTGTAGAAGAATAAGAACTATTATCATTACCTTCGCATGATTCATTGAAACAAGTTGTTGTTGTTTGAGACCGAAACGGCTTTGGTATGACAAGGGGTAGGTTTGTGAAATAACAAGTCATAAATCTTGCTAACTGTTGAACAACAGGTATCCCACGATTATCTGTAATCCAGGCAAGGGGATATTTCACTAACACTGACATCTGTACCATCTTTAACGAAGACGAGGATGTTACTTTAACTTCCGTATCATCGACAGTAATGAGTGCTTGATTTCCTTCGTACGTTGTGTTTAAGATATCCCGAAGATTAACATCGCGAGTTGTATCAATAAATGAATAAACTAAGCCTAAAGCTGCTTTGAGATCATAGTTCTCCAGGTTGATATACAATATAGTCAACAGAGTCTCTATATCTGCTGATAACTTCGAGAAAAGGTCTTCCTCTATCAGAGAAGCGCCGAAACTTGACAGACGTCGCCGCCCTAATGAATCAGGTTGATTTAATTCCAAAGAAGAAGATGTGACAAAATCCTTCACCTCGGATAAACAAATTTCTTTGTTGTTTTCATGAAAAGATCTTTCCAAAAGGTCAACAGCCTGCTTGTAGTTTCCATCTAAGTACATCTTGTATCCTGAAAATGTACATTTATAGTAAACTACACGAAAAAAATATCAAACATCAAAAAGGCAGTAGATACAGTCCTTGCACCAATGATGAAGATATTCTTTAACATCAACACCATTAAGTCAAATTTTAAACCTTTTTCTGATCTCACATATTTTATACCAACCTTGATCAGACAGACTTTCTAAACTTATTGGCAAAGTAAGATTTCTTGACGAGTTCATGGCTTGCAGTTTTCTCTGAATCCAGCAAAGGATCTGAAGCAATCTTTCATCAGAAGTGTGCGTCTTTCGAACCCCAGTCTTGAGGTTTGATTTGTATTTCTTACATACATAATGGTACAAGGTTAACCATGATTGATCTAACTTGCAGTCGTGATTAACGCATTTCTCAATGGTTGGACCGCCATAATGAGAACAAGGTTCAGAACATTTGTCAAATGACGGCGAATAGTTGTCGCCTAAGAAATGCGAACTAGTGCAGTTACCAGCAGCTGCCCACGAGTATATTTCACGAAGAAAGACTTCTGCCATCCGCAATATCGTCTTACATAAATCAATTATATCTTGAAAATCAAACTTGTTTGAACTAACCAAGCATTTTATGGTGGAATGAACGAACTGAGTTAACCATGGTAAACAGTGTTGGTAAATCACATCCCAACGAAAAGCTTCAAAACAGGACTGAACAAATGATGCAATGTTGTGAAGCAACGCATCATTATTCGCCAGACCGCAATGGCTTTCATCTTCCAGTAAAATTGTTAACAATTTAACCCACGTATGAATGAGCAAGTTTAAAGCCACATGCATGTTTGCTGACCAGTGTATCCCACATGATGTCCCTATTCCGAATCCTTGTAAAATAATGCTTTCTGCTTTCATTATTTTCTGCTTGACACTCATTTCCTCAACGTTGAGAAAGCTACACTTGTTATCCTCCGTGTCACCGAATGTAATTACACCAGCTTCAATATCTTGCACAATCCCAAAACCTATGGAATTATGAAACTTATTTAAAACTTATTTAAACTTAGAATTGTGAAACTTATCAAAATACAAGTCAGGCTCGACGTCAACCAGTCATCATACTCCTCTAAAGCTTGACATACCTGTTGCTGTTTCTGATAACGTGCTTCCAGGTGAGCTATGTTCACCAACATCCTTTCCATATTTCGCCATAAACGTGCTAGCAGCGGTCACGTCGGTGACGCTTTTCTCCAAAGTTGTATTTTCTGACTCGTGTAAAGTTGAATCGCTGGACAGAAATCGTGTGGCATCTTTAGTTAATTTTGTAATGAGTTCGCTATAATCAGGCTTTGAGTTTAAATCGAATATGGTAACCATATATCCATCAGAGCACAACATAAGAGGCTGGCTGGGATGAACACAAACCGAGAACTTCTGATGGAAAATATCCTTCTCCGAACCGGATGATATCTCGGAATTTTCAGGTGGAATATTTTCCTGGAAAGATCTAAAACATGGAAACAGTTGTCATAAATTATTGTACATGAACAGTTGATTCTATTAGCTGAACCCCATAGGTGCTTAACAATTTATACAGATTGTTCATTCTTATATAACGTTACGAAATTATGTTGAATCTTCAAAACAATGCAACTTACTTTACAGTAATGCGTGGATGGAGGGACAGAAAAAGACTTGGTCCTAGATTCATACCATGACCTGTTGTGACGAGTTTGACAGGCTCCCCGAGTTTTGATGTTATAAACAATGCGCCATTACGAGTAATACCAATCAATAACAAACTATCTGTTGTCCACGATATGTCACTAACCCACCATGTTCTAAACAGATATACAGTACTATTGCAATTATACAAATATTATCTAAATCGGAAGTCCTTCTGAAGACATGCAGCCACTATCTTTTTGTCTCATTAAAACTCTTGCAATAGGGCGTGCCAGGCTGTAGCAGAGAGCATGCAGGTATGAAACGTAAAATACTAAGCAGAGATATCACAAAATACCGACCTTCCTGTTGATAAGCCAGAACCACCACAACATTTCATGTCTACGACGCACGTTGTGGAATGAAGGCTTGAACAAAATATTAATCTCGTATTCTTGGCGAGTTTTTTGATTGAGCACAATCGCAAGAATCTGACCGTCCGGTGAGTAACGACAGACATAGACGAACCTTCCTTTCACTAATCTTGAGGCAGGAGTTATACTGTATAACGGCCGTAAGTGATTTCCACTTGATGGAACATCGTACGCTCTCAACAACTATACAGCAAGAAGTTAAATATATTGCTTTGGTTAATACAGATCTATTGTACAGTTTTAGAGAATTTTCGACTGACTCTCAAACAACGGCAGAATGTTGTATTTATTGGACCAACGAATGTCCCAACAGTTACAATTATTGTATATACAAGTAGTGTATATCATTGAGCTCATGCAGTATATGTTATTATATTCTTCATGTTCAAAAACAAAACCATTACAATACCTTCAGGGGATGTGGTTTCTTCATCTTGGTTAAGAATATTATGTGCAAGGTTAGAAAACATCATCTCATCACGTGATTTCACAATTAAAGTGGTAACAGCAAGTTCTGGTCCTTTGTTGAAGACGTATGAAAGTGCACCACATCTACCAACAATCTTAAACATTCATTGCAAAATATTAGGCGTAAACATTAACGTATGCCAATACATAAAATCAAAGATGACTTAATTCGTCACGACCGTTTTACCTCGTCTGAATAAAGGACACAATCAACGGTCGCTTCCTTACAGGAAGGACTAGGTAGGGAATATTCACCATGATGAACCTGACTCCATGTTCCAATGATGTTATGAGAATTATCTATCAAGCAGTAGCAAAAGGTAAAAGTTAAGACTTCATCGAAACGTAAAGCTGGCGCTGAAGGAACAATGATAGGGAATTTCCTCACAGTTCAGACGCACGTGTACCTGAATCTTGTTTCTCAGTCTTTTGCCACAAGAAGAGCTTTTCAAACCCAATCATTAAAAGCAACATGCTTCCACATGAGGAAAGAAAGATTCGATTTTTTGAGTTACCTACAATAGTAAAATAACTATAATTCTGAATGATGAATTTTGGATGTCAAATGTCATATATACGTAAAGATATTCTCTTTCCGGAACTTGGCCAGAGACCTAATTCGGGGCCGTTTTGAAATTATAACACTGTAACTACAATGAAAACGCTATAATTTGCCTATTTTTTGCTTATAAATTGACGTATAACGAGGAATGAGAGTGAAAATGATTGAACAAACGCATGTAGCTAATACCTTTATCCGCCTCATTGAATACTTTAGGCAGTCCCGTAATAAACTGAACTTTATCTCGATCCCATAAAAAAATCTTGCCATCGCATAAAGCACCACACAAAAACTGACCTATAAAATTAAAAATTTGGTTGAAAGAAGTGCATATACGTAAGGCGCCAAATGAAAACTAGTGACAATCCCATTATCTCTATAAATCGAGGCAGATTATTTTTTCACTGTCCCAAAAAATCAGCGCAAAATTATGTTACATTAGTGACAAAAAAATTGAAGCAAAACAGCTTGATAATAAAACGTTTTCTTAATGAAAGATAAATCTTGCATATATCAGTTCCTCACCATTCTGTGACACATTCAAAGCACAGACATCATCCATCAAAGTATGAAGTTTAGCAATTTTCTTTTTTGTCTTTCCCTGAAGGAATATAAAGTTGACTGACCCGTTTGCCATCCAAAATAAATAGACCATCTTGTTCCTGTAATAAAACAATGGAACTTAGACAAATGCAAATTATGGCGTGAAGAATCGGCTGCATAGTGCACGTGCACAGTATTATGCTCAGCTGGTTGTTTCTCCGTTCGTTCCATTAGCCTACGATCACTGGCTTACGATATACGCCTGCAACACATGCTTCGCCCGCACACCCATAAATTGAGCTGCGTAGCCTGGGGCGACCTCTTGACATTTTTGGTTGGTCACTGCTACCCTCAGGGCTCAGGCGGGCTTAAAAATTAAATGTTTGAGGGATCGTACTTTTACTACTTTATTATGAAAAGGTAACAGGATACGTTTCAAAAAAGAAGCGGACAACGAACTGATTCCAAAGAGATCGAACCCGTCTGTACCGAACCCGCTGTAAACTCCATGGCGGTACCACTGCGTTACACTTACAGTGAGAACACTAAGTTCACGAGAATCTATTATATATTTTCAATTTGTTTTAGGTCATTAAAAAGGAAAGAACTTTCCTCCTTTCCAGACCGGACTGACAATTTTCGGACCTGGCGGTTGGGAGAAAAATACGGGCTCTTAGTCTCAGGCCCCACGTGTATGTACGTCTCGACGTCACTACTTTTGTAGGCGTGCGCAATTATGGTGTTATGAAAGATTAGAATTATAAATTGTGATCCACTAAAACGAACAAAAGATCATGTACATTTGTAAATAATATAAATTCTGAATTCACACGCATTTTATTGCCAGTTTTTGAATATTTCTTACAAAAGTAAAGAGCTCAGTTTAGTAAATATTCTGGGCCCCCAAAGACCACTGACACTGGATTTAAACCTGAATCACTATAAACAGCTCAGTATTTCATGCAGCCTTCAAGCAATGTGTCTGTTGTGTTAAGAAATGAAAATGATGGGAGAAAACAAGTGAACTATTTTGCTTAGGAATTACAGACAAAATAAAGGTCCATTCACAGGATCCAATTTTGTCTGATTCAATTCACTTCTGATGCGTGAAATGTATCCTGTGATTGATAAAGCAGTACTGCATTGCCTTTAGTTGAGTTTCTGTCCATATACGTTGCAACGAGAAACATTCCTCAGAAGTGAATTTGATTGTGTGAATTGTATCATTTTATTTCAATTTATACTGTACCTGCCCAATCCAAGATAGTTTTGGCCATGGTTTTTTTCGTTTGATACTAACAGAGGAGACTAAGTTCAAGACCAGCTGCATCCTTCAGTCAGCCTTCAAAGTTGTGACGGGTAGTTAATGCTAAGCAATGATACTGATTTATCTTATTATATGGCATGAACTCCCCTGGTGTATGATTTTAAAATATAGTATAATGGATAGCTTTAATGCTTTCACTGCATAAAATGCCATTAAAGCAAAAGATAATGAGATGAAAATTAGGGGTAATAGTGTTTATCAATTGACGAAAATGTAAGATCTAAACTAGGCCTTAATCGCCTTATTTTATGTGCTGACAGGCTGCTGTTATTCATAGTACCTATCCTTATGACCTTATTCACTGTCTATAAACGTACATATCAGAATGAATTCAGGCACAAATGAAGTGATAGATCAATCTCGTCTTTTTAAGTCATTTAACCTCAGCAAACAAACAACATATGCAATTTTGTAACCTCAATTTGGCGTTTTATAATATAGTTTATGCATAATAAACATAGATTAAATGTCATGTTTACAAGTTAAATGAAAGGTAGTAATGCACATTCAATTAAGTCTTACTCTAGATCCACTGATCAGTCACAATTTGAGAGTCAAGAAGGATAATAACCAAATTTTTTTGTTCATTTTGCGTTCTTTTTAACGCTTTCATTCTGCTTTCACTAGCAGCTAAATCCTGGAATTTGGCAGCCATATTGGATTTTACCGCGCAAACCACTGAGCTATATATATACAATATAGCTAAACTGTAAATGAAAATAAATTCTAAAAAGGATTTTTTATGGAGTATAATCAGTGTATTCAATATTATCTTAATCATCTCTGTGTACCATGCACCCACCTTTGTGCATGGTAGATGAAAGTTTAAAAAAGATTTATAAGATTTAGTAAATGAGGACTGAGGTGTTAACTGTTAATTGATTAGAAGTTGATTCATACATTTGTAGGTACAAACGAATTCTCAATCGTTTACATAACGAATTCGTAAGAGTTCTACAGAACTTCTACGACTTCAAAATTACTCCCGTATGCGTGAAATGGTGCTGTTTATCATGCATTCATGCTGAAATCAACGCTGTAAGAAGTGTGAGAATTAAAATATCTTACATGAAGCAGTGCATGTCGTTACCCAGGCGCTGTAATCACTGATCACAGACGCATTTCACTTTCCAGAAAGTTAATGTTGATTGGAATTTTTATTTTAAGTCGTGGAGTCCACACGTGGCATAAAGCAGTTGCTCTCTAGTGTTTGTTTTATTTATACCTGAATATTGCAAGCAACAAGAATGAAGGGAGTTTTGTTCTTTTTCTTACTACTGGTGAGTTCAATTTTAGGCTGAGTCCTTATAAAATAGCCTTACCTACACCAACCAGAATGCACGCAAATGAGCAAGCAGTGACAGTGATTAATGCATACATTGTTTATATTTTCTAGTGCGTTTTTACGGTGCAGTGTAAGAAGCAGAAAAATAGTGATAGGAAAGATATTATAATTATCAACGATGTTAAATTTTTCAAAAAAGTTATGAAAACGCACACTAATCTCCTCGTATTATTTTCACAGTCAGGTAGGGTTGAGTGTTGATGTTTATCAATCAATGTCACTAGTGGGAATTAAGGTCCTCTTACGCTAATAGGAAGGATCAGGTGGAGGGTGCGCTGCAAGGCATTCTCTTGCTCTTTCAATTTGAATGATGCCCTTTCAAATGGAATGATTCAATGCAATTTGTTCATACAGTAATTCAGAATATGCCAGATATGCAGTCATAGACGTTTTCAGATTCATGTTAGCCCATATGTCTGACCCTTGGTCACTAAGATCATTTATCAAAAGAAAATACCATAAAGTAAAGTGTCCAAGATTTTTCAAACACTTATACAACAATTCAACAAATCTCCCCTTCTTTGCAACATTCTGTTTTCCTTGGTAATATGGCAATGTTTCCATTGGTAATATCATTCTATAGTTGTACATAGTTGTACATAGACAAATTTAAAAGACTCTACTGATAAGTCTCTGTTTTTTTTGTAGAGAAAGAAGTAGAAGACAAGTTGAACTTATTGGGTACTTTGGCAAAGGATTTCAAAGGCAAAGGATCAATAGCCTTTGTAAATTGTGGGTAAGTTGAATTGTTTTAGATGAACAGCTGCTGTATGTGTTTTTGTGTCAGTATGCATAGTATATTTTATCCTTAGCCTATTTTTTATCCCTGTACATTATTATAATGTTCTGAAAAAAAAATATAGCAACATAACAACTAATAAGGTATACAGTAGTGGCCTGTTTTGCACATTGTGTTTCTCTCATGTACTGAAGCATTGGAAACAATTTGATAGTGTGATCCTTTATAATTATTACTTTATTAATTATTAAAAATTATATTGTTTCCACATCACCAAGTAAACACAAACAAAATGATAGAACAAGTATGTATTACAATACAATCCAGTTTCCAACCCATGTCTCTATTGAGTAATGGTGGAACAGTGATCTAAAATCAAGTTGGCTATTGATCTTTTTCAATTTTGTTTGCTTTTCCCCCCACTATTTAAATATTTCCTCTCTTCTCACTTTGTGAAGTGTGTGACTTCTTGTTTTTAAGGGAGTATTCAAAATTATGCAAGAAATTTAAAATTTCAGCAAAGTATGGTCCAGTATTAAAACATTACAAGTAAGTTATATTATTTTATGATGGTGTATTTCTTTGCACAGAACTTTTGTCTTCCAATATCAAGTAGAAGAGGCATTTTGTTAGAGCATGCTTTCTTCTCTACAGAAATGGTAAATTCAATAAAGACTATAATAGAAAAGACACATTAAAGGTATACTATTTCTGTATTTGCTTTCATTAGAAAATGACTGCAAACAGGTGTTAGTTTATGTGAAATTTTGAGTAATTGTTTGTGTTTTCTCAAACAACAGTCTCTTACAACATTTATGAATAATCCAACTGGAGACACTCCATGGGAGGAAGAACCTGGGGCAGAAACTGTTCGACATATTGATGGTGATAAGGTGTTGTTTACTTTATAAACCTTTATCCTAAATCACCAGAACAAAAAAGTGACAGCATATCAAATAAAAACACTCTTTGCAAACAAAGTTAAATGACTTAGAGTTTAGGTTATGGGAAACAAAATTCAACATTAAACATACGAACGATGTTGCAATCCTTTTTATAGTGGCAACTTCCATAGTAATTGCTGTCACTATACTAGTTGATTTGACCTTAACAATCTCTTTTGCTGCTTTTTAGGATTTAGCCAAGGTACTAGCCAAAGAGAAAAAACCTGTTTTTGTTATGTTCTATGCTCCTTGTAAGTTATCCACCATAATTTTGACTACTCGGAAAACATGGAAAGCTGTCAGATAAATGCAGATTTGAGACGTCACAAACAAGAGGGAATTGTAATAGAAAATGTGTAATACGTTTTCAGTGTATGTGGTACTTTTTTACAGGGTGTGGATTCTGCAAAAGATTAAAGCCCACTTATCAGGAAATAGCCTCAGAATTAAAACAGTCTATTGTAAGTATTTTGTATTTGTATTTATTAAACTACAGCTATATGGTCATAATTACTTTATCTGTATTTTTATACAATATTAAAATCTTTCTAGATTCTTGCTGGCATGGATGTTGATAATGCTGAAAGTATGAACACAAGAGTGCAGTTTAACATCACTGGATTTCCAACATTAATATATTTCCAGTAAGTTGTATGCTGAGTGTTTTATGTGGTTATTAATATGAGCTTGTTTGTTTAATTGTTGTATGTATCTTTTAAAACCCCTATAAGCCAAATCTGAATCAATTTATCGTAAACATCGAACACAGACTGCCAATTGTTACACTAATTTTGGCTTAGAAATGTGCGATTGTCAGGGTAAATGAATTTCATGTACATAAGATTCAGATATCTCCCTCATTCCTCTGTGTAGCGGTGGTAAGGAATTGTACAGATATAAAGGAAAGCACGAGAAAGAAATTCTGATTGAATGGTTACAAAAGTAAGTGACACATGCTGGATGATATGATAATTGTTGTGATTACGTCACGTTCTTGCTTTTGTAATGTTGCTGCTGCATGTTGAGATTTTTCATTTGCGGTCACTGGTTCTTGTTATTCCACGTTAGTGTTGGCGTTGACGTGTCTCGCGTTCTTATGGTTTAACGTTGATTCTTAATCAATGGTTTCACTCCAAACTATTAAATAAAAAGACAAATCCTTCAGTTATCATAATTACTCAACTTTCAGTCCCACAGACGATAGTCCAAAAGATGAAGAAGAAGAGCAATGGAAGGATACGCCGAGTGAAGTTGTTCATTTGACTGATGATACATTTGATGATTATGTTGCTGCTAATCCCTCCGTGCTTGTTATGTTTTATGCACCTTGTAAGTGCTGTACCTTACCAACATCCTAAACGTACGTGATAACATTACTCTTTTCACAATGAACCATGATGTTTGATCGTTTTTCTAAAGGGTGTGGTCACTGTAAAGCAATGAAACCTGAATATGTCGACGCAGCTCAAAGGATGAAGGATGAAGATGTAAGTCAAAAATGAAAATTTCTAAACTAAGAACAGAATAATTTGTATCTCATTGCGCTAAACATGCGCTAAACTGACCTACTGACACGTTAAAAATTCTTCATACTAAGTTATACCAAGCAACTTTCGTTAGGTTTGTCTCATGCAACAGACTGTACTTTAGATTTCAGGCACATTAGCAGCTGTAGACGCAACTAAAGAATCTGCGCTTGGGAAAAGGTTTGAAGTGAAAGGCTTTCCCACGGGTACGTTTGGATCTTTAAATCTGTTGCCGGCATTAAATTTACAATGCACTGACTTGGATGTTCTTTTTGTCTTTTTGATTCTTCTGGTTTAATGGGACGTTTTGGAAAACAGTTAAATACTTCAAGTAAGGAATATTCTGTTTATGTTGTTTTAACGCATTATCTACGTTCCTCAACGTCTAACTGTCAGGATCTTGTTAATTTCACTTGTTCGCTTCAGAGATGGTGAGTTCGCATTTGATATGAATGAAAGGAAAACTGATACCATCGTAGAGTTTATGAAGGAGTGAGTATATTCTGTTGTGATCTGGGACCGGTTTGGTTGAAGCGAAGCCAAATTAAGGCTGATTACCTTACCTTACGCAAACCGAGGCATAACACAATGCGATAGCCTACTAACTTTTCTGCCTGAATAAACTTTTGCAAGTAGTGAGAATCTAGTTTAAATTGCTGAAAATGGATGTAAGAGTGAAGCAAAGTCTCATTTCTGACAAAATCTGACTTAGACAGAAAAGTTAGTAAGCTATCGATTGGTAATTCTCCATGTTCAAATGGTTCGGATATAAATGTTGTTTCGTTTTTCCCGCTCGCAAGAGAAACGTGAAATCTTGTGATGATTTGATATATTTGATATATTCCAGTCCGAAAGAACCTCCACCTCCGCCGCCAGCTGAACCTGAGTGGAGTGAAACTGCAACTGAGATCAATCATTTAAAAGATGATAATTTTAAAGATTTCCTAAAGAAGAAGAAGCATGTCTTGGTCATGTTTTATGCACCTTGTATGGTTCTATTTCAACACTTTTATTCCATATATCGTATTCTTATATAAGTCACTTGTCTTTCATTCCATATAGTCTCTTCTATCACCACTACACCAGTCTTTAGGGGGGGGGGTGGGTTGTTCTTTCTATACTCTTTCTGGAAACTCTTTAGAGATATCAACGTGTCTCTTACTAAGTAATTATTATTAAGTAATTATTAAGTAGGGGTCTTATTTCTTTATCCAAGAAATTCAAGGCTAAATACTGTACTTTTTGTCATGTTTTGTTTGTTACTCCTATCAGCGAATGATTACATCGCTTGTGTGTATTCACTTTGTATTTACTAGGGTGTGGTCATTGTAAAAAAGCGAAGCCTGAATTTACTGAAGCGGCAAAACATCATGCTGAAAATAAGAAGGTGCAACTTTTTATCCATAAAAGAAAGTCTATATTATAACCACCTAACCTTGAGCTGCTTGTAAAAAAGGTTTTTTTTAATTTTCTTTTATGAAGATTGGGTTTGCTGCCGTAGATTGTACTAAGGAGACTGCAGTTTGCGGTGCCCATGGAGTTGAAGGGTTTGTAATACTGTACATTTATGGTACAGAATGATAACGAAAACAACCTTTGTAATATTGTACTGATAAAGATCATACGATATCTTATATGTCTATATTTTGAGTTAAAGTAGTGATATCTTTTACATCTCGCTACGATACGGTTGAAAAAAAATTCCTTATTTGGTGGTGTCCTAACAGATTTACGTTTACTCAAAATAGCTATCCAACATTCAAGTACTTCAACTATGGTAAGAATGACGAGAAATATACTGGAGGACGTACTAAAGATGACTTTATTAAGTTCATGGAGAACCCACAAGAACCAGTGAAACCTGAACCCGAGGAAGAACAATGGTCGGATGAACCCAGTGCTGTTGAGCATTTGACTGATGGAGACTTTGAAGATTTTGTGTCAAAACATAACTCTGTGCTGGTTATGTTTTATGCACCTTGTAAGTTATTACATTTACATCCTAAAATATTCGATACATTACATTTGACCATGAAAACAGAAATGAGTCCCAGCGTTGTTCAGGCAGGCAGGGAGGGAAAAATGGGCCAACTCTGAAATGCCCATATTTGCTTAGCCATCGAGTTGGTATAACCATTTCACAAGGAATATTCTGAGGATAATCATCATTACTGCACTGGGAGTGATATTAATTCCAGATCTTTACCGTAGGGTGCGGTCATTGTAAAGCAATGAAACCAGCTTATATGGAAGCAGCCGCGGAGATGAAAGCTCAAAAGGTGTGCGAAATGTTTATGACTGATAGAAATTTTAGGAGAATCATGATGCTTTTCCTTTTTGTATCCCATAATCCTATATGTGAACGGTTTCTATAGTGATAGTAAACAATAAGGTAGTCTATGGCAGTGACAAAGAAAGCTTATTTAGTCTTGTTTTTTGTTTCAGGTCAAAGGCATGCTCGCTGCTGTTAATTGTATGCAAGAACAGAAATTACGGCAAAAATATGAAGTCAGCGGTTTTCCATCAGGTACACGATATTAGACATTGCACATGTATTCGGGTGTGTTTTTGTTTAATTTTGTTTTTACTCTTTTTCTTCCTCTTTCTATGATTTTAGTCAAGTATTTCAAGTAAGTGTACTTTGTTTTTTACTCCCTCTATAGGCCTGTTTCGGTGTTATACCTACTGTAATTTACATGCAGTTGATATAAACTCATGTCATACAACATTTTTATTTGCTGTAAGTCTAACAAATAACTTTTTATGCAGGGATGGTAAATATGCTTACGACTACCCTCGGTCGAGAACAAAAGATGATTTAGTAGATTTTATGAGAAGGTAAGTGCAAATGTATTTATAATTTTAAAACCTCGTACTGCGCCGTGTAATGTAGAGACGACTCACGAGAATATTGTACGAGTGAAAGGTTTTAAGGCCCGGTTACACTTGCAATTTTTGCTGCGATTTTCTTCTTCTGGTAGATGTGAATGAGTAATTCAGTTGCTGATGTTTTAAACATCAGAGCATTCGTAACTAATCACTCGTTCACATCTATCAAAAGAAGAAAATCGCGACAAAAATTGCAAGTGTGAACGAGCCTTTAACCCCCGATGATATTTTTACAGTCCATCTGAAGCAAACAAGAATCCTAACAACATTGTAAAGAATGATATTCCTTGGAGTGATGAGGATAACTCTGTTATTCACTTAACTGGGGATAATTTCGCAGAATTTGTCCAAAGTCATAGTTCTGTTCTTGTCATGTTTTATGCGCCATGTAAGTTTACTTCGCCTCTGGTCTGTGATCATTTTCATTGTAGAGATGCATGCATGGGAACGAAGGGGGACATGCATAAGAATAAAGAAGCTTGCTTATCTCAAATCTGACTTTTTCTGTTATTGATTTCAAGGGTGTGGCCATTGCAAGAAAACCAAACCTGAGTTTGAAACAGCAGCAGAAACGTTCAATATTAAGGAGGTACTGTATGTATGTACAATAAATCGCAGATCATTAACGCTTTTTATTTTTTTATTGTATATAAACAAAATCCATTTTCAGATTCAGATATAGTTGACTATTCCTCACTCAAAAATGTTATTTGCATTCCTTTAAAAAGGGACTTGGTAAAATGGCTGCTGTTGATTGCACACAAGACAAAGAGCTTTGTTCAAAATACGATGTCACAGGATATCCAACTAGTAAGCCTTCATTAGCCACTGTTCTATTTTTCATTTAAATTAATTTGATTAAATGTAAAATTGATTAAGTTTGAATTTGCTTTATTTAACATCTTTCGCTTTTACTAATAATATTTTCATAATTTTGTTACAGTAAAGTATTTCAAGTAAGTTTCAAACTATTTTATTTGATTAACAACGTTTTATTGCGTTTTCTTTTGGTGCTCGGTTCTATTACCCATGTTCATTTTTGTGTTTTTCAGAGAGGGCGAGGATTCGTTTAAATATTTTCAAGCAAGAACTGCAAAAGCTTTCACTGAATTCATGACAAAGTAAGTTTTATCATGTTTTCAACCTACTCGCATTTTCTAATCCCTACTGTTAACATGAAGTAGACAATACACTATTTTATGATTTATAAGTAAGTGATTTACAAATTCAAAATGGCGTGTAACTTTTTAGCTTTTCAAAGTGTAGTTAAGCGCCCTATAGATACAACTAGCCTGCATGGCAGGCGGTCCATAGCTACAACCGGTCCATAGCTACAACCGGTCCCAGATGTCTACTGTGTGTGCCTATAACATGTGCTCATAATAACGTTTTTAATTTCCAGTCCCCAGCCACCGGAGCCAGAATGGGATACAATTCCTGGAAAAGTGAAACATCTTACAGACGACAACATTCATGACGTGTTGAAAGCTCATAAGTCTGTGCTTGTCATGTTTTATTCACCAAGTAAGTTTAACTTGACGCCATACTGAACTTGCGTGGAAAGTCGACTGTAAACCACGTACTCGTGTATTTTAACAGTTTTAAAATATAAGATTAGGTGAATAGTTCATATATTTTCCAGGATGTGGTTATTGCAAAACTATGAAACCTGACTATATTGCAGCTGCTGAACAACTTAGTTCAGAAGGGGTAGGTTCAATCGTACCAGGTTCAGATAAATTCCCCCTATCAATCAGTATATTAAACTTTCTATATTTTTTGCCAGTCTGATATAGTATTGGCTGCAATGGATGCGACAAAACACCTCACAACTGCTAAAGAACATGTCACTACAGGCTATCCAACAAGTACAACATTAGTTTTATATTTGCATTTTTGTATATATTCTCGTCAATGCAACTGGTCTTTCTGATTCTTCTACATCTTTTCTTTTGTCTTTATAGTAAAGTTTTTCCGGTAAGAAAAACATTTAGCTACTCTACGTATGCCATTCTTTTGTAATCACACAAACTACATAATTTAGATTCTTGATTTCATTTGTATCCTAATTCCATGCAGTCAAACAACTAAAGCAATTAAAGCTAAAATTAAATTGTCTATCGTTGCTTTTAGAAATGGAGAGGAAATTGAGGAATATGAGGGTAATAGAAGTAAAATGGATATCATAAAATACGTCAAAACGTAAGGACTTTTTACGGAAATCAGTCGTATATTCCATGAACTGTAATCATAGCTTGATCTGTATGTGGTTCAATTGTGGAAACCCTGATACTTACCCAGTGACTTCGACCAGTTTCACTTGTAGTTGCAATAATGGAGGAATTGTTTTGCTGTAGAAAAGACCGAGATGAAGATGAAGACCAGGAGGACAAGAGTGACGAAAATGAAGACAAATGGCAATTTCAAATTGTCCAAGAACTGACTCAGGATAATTTTGAAACAACTTTAGCTGGAGTTGAACATTCTTTAGTTATGTTTTTTGCACCATGTAAGTACAGTACTACCAGTATGACTAAATATATTAATCCATTTTATAACCTCCATGCACTTTGCTGTCTGTCTTCCTTCTGTCCAGATTTAATTTCTAAATATGAACTATTTCATCTCGTAGGGTGCGGTCATTGCAAGAATACTAAACCCCATTTTGAAGAAGCAGCATCGAAAATACAAGATGAAAAAAATAAGTTAATGGCTGCTATTGACTGCACGGTGGAGACAGGTTAGTTATTACATAATTTCACAACACGGTAACCAAGAAACGTTTTGGGTTTTGCAGAATTTTCTGGAAATTAACTGCATGGTAACTTAATAGACTATAGTCTGCTTTATTCATAAAATATACATACTTAGTATCATGAGCAGCCTTTTAAATATATTTGACAAAAATGAATTCTGTTACCCAACAGTTGGGCTGCATTCAATCGTATCAATAATTGCTTCCACGATCATTAAAAAATCGCTACTTGTGATATTTTGGCAAATTTGGCATCACAAACATTTGCCTTGGCTCCAAGATTTTTCACAGAAAAATTTCAACATTTGGTTCCAAGAAAAGAGAAAACCTTTTTTATCATCCGAAGCTTTCAGCCAACTTCGATATAAAATTTGTGTTTTGTGTTCTTTATAGAATTGTGTGGAAAAGAAAACGTTAGCGGATATCCGACTATTAAATATTATAATTATGGACGCAATACGGTGAATTATGAAAACTCGAGGACTTCTGAAGATTTTCTTTCCTTTTTCGATCAGTTTTCATCTACCGCGTCCACTTCGAACAAGAAGGAAGAATTATAAAGTACAGCTCGTTTAGCTATTTTTTAATTTTGTTCTATATATTATATATATATGCTTCCACTTGACTAAGCTGACAAAATCCGAATATTAGTTTTACCCTTTTTCACAATTACAATTCACTTACATACTTTTTATATTTCGAACACCTCAAACGGACATTGCATTATTATTTAATACAAACCAACTGCATTAATTCGTTTTGGTCTTTTTGAATTGATGAGAATTTTTAGCAATAGCCTTACGGGCAGCTCAGATTACAGACCCTTGGCCTTGCTCCATAGAACATCCCATGCAAATTATACATATCATTCCTCGGTGTGGCTTTATCATTGCGTCGTATACTGTGTACACCATCACTTCATTGGCATTGATAGCATCATTACTTGATAACCGGCTTTTGCTCCCTAATAGAAAACGCCCTCATTGGGTGCTCTGGCGCCTTCTCTAAAGGCTGCCTTCTCTAAAGCCTGCCTTCTCTAATGCCTGACTTCTCTAAAGCCTTGGCTTCTTTAAAGCCTGCCTTCTCTAAAGCCTGCCTTCTCTAAAGGCTGCCTTCTGTTCTGCACTATTCCAGTAATACGGGCTAGTCTACCACTCTTAAAGTCTAAGCCAGGGTAGCTGGCTAAGTTTGTGTCATGCTAAACATCGTGTTACCAAACTTTGCTGGATACTAGTTAAGTATCGAGCTTTTCTTCGTCAGAAAGCAGTTTTTGACCTGAGAATGACCTTGCTTCTACAGTATTCATGGGTCGACTAATTCATGGTCGAGCGCGATACCAGAATCCGAAAGACCACAGGATCAAAATTTAAACTAAAAATTCAAATTATACACTTGGAATTGTTTTATGCATTGACGTCACTGTCATGATTGACCAATCACATTCACTTATTTCCCTATGATTTAAGTAATTACGTAAGTCCTTGATCACACCTTGACACTTACAGGCAGTTTACCGTTTACGTCGAGGTTTACGTTACAAGAAGTCAGTACATTTATGAACGCAAGCTTTCCATTGATCGCAGAAAAATTGACGCTTTGCACTGCCACTGGTGAGTAATTACGAGTTTGCATGGAATATAGATACTTTTATGAATATGTTACGTTGACTGAGACGCATGGTCGACCAGTTCCGGATACATTTCACTGGCATTGCAAGCTTTGCCAAACATCCGATATGATATTTTGTCAATGTAATGTGATACATTATTTTGATATTCAAACACGACGGAGGTAATAAACTGATTATTAGTAGCTATGAACAGGATATTGTTCTTAGCTTTTAGCATATTTCATGCTTTACAAAAAAGTTCCCCAAAGCCAAGGCCCAGCGTTTTATTGGGTAACTTTGCTAGAAGAATGATTTAGCAACTAAAATAAATGCAATGCCAAAAAAAGGTACCAAGTTAACTCTCAAAATTGTCAAAGAGCAGCGCTGGCAGTGTAAATGGTCATTGTTGTTGATAACCAGTAAAGAAGAATTGTTCTTAAAAACAAAGAGCTTTATTTGAATCCAACGTTTTAGTGTGTTCCCAATTTAGAAGACTCATATTAGGCAAATTCACTGATTGGACAATTTGGAACGAATGAGCCAAAGACAAATTGAAAATGGAGACCAACTGACGTGTGCGCCTTTATATTACTGATCAGTGCTTCATATATAGACATGCCACACAGCCCATGCACGGGGGTCCGACCACAATGAAATTTTCTACATTCTAGTAAATGTTTTAATATTGATCTGACTAATGTCCGATTACACTGCATGCACACATTCAATTTATGGACACTGCACGGCTAACGGTGTTTTATCCGTGCTCGTAATACCAATTCAGATACAAATCAACATGCAGCTCAGGGACAGGGTATAATGATTAAAAACAAGGCGTATATGCTCGAATATGCTCGAATACTTCTGCATTATCGAACGCCTTTTAATTATTTATCCGTCGGTCAAATTCGATTGAATTGTTTGAAATGGCGGGAGGTAATTTTTATTTCTATCACATCGCCTTCAGCGAATAATTCATATTCAACACTAGAGGATATGCGATAAAAATATAGTCGTAGATACATACTGTCATCAACCATAGTTTTTAGTATCAATGGGCGGTATATTTACTTCGTTTATTCTTTGCTGGTGGCATCCAAAGTATACCTTTTTGCATGATCAATATCTACTATATCATACTCTATATTGGTAGGTTATTGCCATTAATACAATACATGCAGGCATACGTACTTAAAACTAGAGACTTAACTCAACAAGCCCGATTTATCAAACACAGGAAGGCGACAGATTAGCACACCCATATAAGCACAGCTAGATAAGCGACAGGTAAGCGCATGCATCCACTTTCATTGATAACTCTCAGCCTCCGGACTGGCTTTGCAGAACACAGCCTTATTAATTATATAACCCAAATACCACTTACTTTATTTCAGATTAACGCGCCAATTTGTTTTAGGTTGAAAAGAATAATGGTAGAAAGTGAAAAATGCTTGGTCGTAGGCTTGCTGCTCGCCTTCGCTATTGTTGCCCATGTCAGGTAACTAATCTTAAGATGTAACACTCAGACGGGCATATTTACAGGGCATTTTTTAACTATCATGTAACTGCTGGGCCATAGGTATAGGCCTTCTATCCCTGTGGAAAACAATAAAAAAATCTGTTTCATTGTCGCGTTTATTATATGTTTGAAGCGTTGTGAGCTAATACTCACAACTCACTTTACCGTAGGATCATAAATTCATAAAAAATGCCCTTGACTATTGAGTAACTATATCTAAAACATGTTAGTTGATGTTATTTATATATTATTGTTATTTATTCTGTCTTGAACAGAGGAGAAGAAGAACTATGGTGTGACTTCATCATTGTTGGAGCTGGGACATCCAGTCTCGGCCTAGCAGCGAGACTTGCTGAGGTTTCCTCGTGGAAAGTATGTGTGTTTGAAAGAGGACCAATGGAAGAAAGAATGAAAGGTAGAAACAAACCAATCTGATTATTACAGATTACCTACTTTAGACCGTGCGCCACACCTTACTCTTCGTCGTTTGTCTAAGACTTTTTATTCTTAAACACTTTGCTTCTAAGGTTGGTACACAAATAGCTACAAATTTACCAGTCCGCATGACCCATTATGGCTTACTCAACCAACGCTTCAAACATTGGTGAAGAAGGGAAATTACTGGAGCAATCCAAACAAAGATGGCCGCTTGATTTACATTCCTCGGTTCCGTGGCCGTGGTGGAACTTCACGTGTCTATGGGGCAATCGTCAGACGAGCTAGTCCTGCAGTTCTAGATCTCTGGCCGAATGGTTGGAAACATGAAGATATGACGCAATACTACAAGAAATTAGAAGATCATTATTGTTACTATGACCTGGCAAACGTCACAGGAATACCAAAAAATGTTTGTGAGAAATGGCATGGACACGGTGGACCGATGCAAGTAAATTCACAAGTACAAGAAGCTTTTCAGAAGTTTCCAAGAACAATGAAGTATTTATGTGAAGACAAGGAGAAGCCATGGAATGGTTATAAAAGTGATTACAATGGGCCAGAGAGTGACAGAATTAGCTGCAGCGTTTTCCAGCAGTATAAACTCCGAACCGATAAAGATTATTATCCAAGCGACGAAGCTAGAAGAAATCGTGCATCCAAAACAGCTCGTGGTAGTAGCTACACTGGTTATTACGAACATAATGACGCGAAACCCTACCTCAGTGTTTCTGCACCGGTGTCACAGATAATTTTTGACGGTGAAAGAAAGGCAGTTGGTGTATCATATTGGGATAAAACAACCGGGGAAATAAAGGTAGCAAATGCGCGTAAAGAAGTAATCTTAGGTGGCGGTACCTTCGATACCCCTCATTTACTTCAAGTCAGCGGAGTTGGTCCACGAAACCTTCTTAAAAAAATTGGCGTAGAATTAGTGGCCGAAAATGAGGAAGTCGGAAAGAATTTATGGGATCATATTTCTGTGCCATATGTTCTAGAACTAAGTAAAGAATCTTTGGAGTTATGTTGTACAAATGAAACGGACCCTATACCTAGAGTCGATATTGATGGCGCTTCGTATGAAACAAAGAAATTGGAATCCATCAATGGCCCTTTCTCCTGGATCTTGCATTATCGTTCTAATATCACACGAGTCCCTAAAAAAATGTCCGATATTCAACTGTATGTAATGGGCAACTCAAAACTCTTTGACGAGACAGATGCGCTGTGTACATCCGACCCCCCGGAATATAATGATCAAGATGAAGAAGATGAATCACACGACAAGGACACTATTCAGGGAACCATTCGCATTATCGACCAATGGCCTGAATATCGCGGCTCCGTCAAATCAGTTACACCACATATTTTTGACAAACCTGAAATTGAATATGGTTGGTCATACACCAAAGACGGTGTTCCCTCAGATGAATTTAAAAAAGTTTCCCAACTATTCCGTGAACAAGTTAAACTGCTTCGTGAGATGTTTTTTGGTGATAACGTTAGGGAAGATCTAAAGCGTTTAGTAGTAAGCGAAGTAGCTCCAGGACATGATATTGATACCGATGACAAATTTGATGCTTGGTTGAGAGGAATGTTAGTTTCTGCTTTGCATCCAGTAGGTACGTGTAAAATGCCCGAGTGTTCTGACGAATTCTTGAGGGTGAAAGGCGTTTCTTCTCTTAGAGTCTGCGATGCCTCCGCATTTGCTACGCAAATCGACGGAAACCCAGCAGCAACGCTTTACGCAATGGGGGAAAAACTTGCTGACATGTTAAAGTTTGAGTATTTAAAATACATTAAGCTTGCAGTTCGCGTAGAGATACCAAGTCCCATGGTGAAGGATGCGGATCTGCCATTCCTGAACAGAGTCAAAAAGGATATTACGTCGAGACTGCAGGCTGAATGTTTTCAGTGTTTTGAAGTGTCTTTGACTCCAGACTTGATATCAACAGGAAAGGATACATCAGCTATGATTTTTAAATGGTCGATTGTCTGTACTCAGGAAGTGAATGAACGTAAGATTGTTGACTTTCTTGTAAAAGAAACGCTAAGTGGTAGGAGAAAAGCAAGTTATTGCAATGCTGATAGTTATCCTGAGTTTAATCGAAAAGAAACGAGCACTGTGGAACGCGAATCTGGACCAAGACACAAAGTGGATCCGTATGTGTTTGTTGTTTGGTGTCAAGGATATTCTGGTGTGAATCCTGATAGCTTGTGGAAAAAGGCTGGTGCTTGGCATGGCGAAGGAGGAAAGGTACCAGGATCCAAAAATTGTTTTAAGTTGAATTGCGAAAAGGAAACTTGTTCTGTTTTGGAGCATGCGAACGATGCCAATCGTGAGCTGATTTATAAAGAACCAGACTTGAACTTGCCAGCGAGTGGATACGTATCAACTAAGAAAGTTGTTGCTCGAGATGATGGTGGTTCATCAGCCTTCTTCCGAACCTCAGCAATGATCGCATCTCCAGAGGCAGATTGGTATAAAGATGTGGCCGGATATTTATTGGAAACGGTTTATGCCAGCTCTGGGCGTCGGTATGCTAGACAATATCCACCTCTTGATAGTCAATCAGGTTGGTGGACGGAGTTGCCTGGAGGTCTGCTTATCTATGAAACTAGTTCCAGAATATATAGTAGAGAATCGGTCGCTGCGTTTGATCTTGATGGGACAATTATTAAAACCAAAAGTGGCAAAGATTTTCCAATTGACAAGAACGACTGGATTTTTACGTCTCAAGAAGTGAAACTAAAGTTAGAAGAAAACCAAAAGGGTGGTATTAATAACGTTATTATGAGTAACCAAGGAGGCATTGGTCTGGGATTACAAGACAAGCTGGAATGGATGGAAAAAATTGAAGATATAACATCTCAGTTAAATATACCAATCTTCGTACTTGCTGCAACAAAGGAAAACAATTATCGCAAGCCAGACGTTGGTATGTGGGAATATTACTATTGTACATTGAATCAATTTAAAATGATTAATATGAAAACTGCCATTTATGTTGGAGATGCTGCAGGAAGACCAAACGACCATGGTGACTCTGATCGAAAGTTTGCAGAAAATGTTGGGATTGCCTTTCAAACACCTGAAGAATATTTTGAAAAGACCCATTCTGAACTTTGATTTCTTATCGGCGGTTTCCTCTTAAAATATTTACTGTTTATTAATTAATCGTTCATAGAACTCGTAGAGGGTTGCTTTTCGAAATTTGTTGGCATTGCCATTGTTGCATATAGGCTTCAACGTTGTTTAGTTCTGTATGCGTGCATGCATTATGTATCCATGAAACATATCTTTAGTTTATTTGTGGTGTATTATTCGTAGATATTAAGATATAACTTGATACCTCGTCTCACATCTATTTATACAATTATACTGCAAGCTATCTTTCATTGTATGCATAACCAATGCATATTTAACTGCATTGGTTAATAAAATGAGTTGAAAAGCGAATTTGAAGGGCAAACAGAGTATTTTGATTTTTAAAATTCATCTCGTAAATGATTGCCCGCGTAAGCTGCGCAGTTTTGATTTTTCGCATCATCCTAAGAAGAGCGTTTCAAATGCGCAATTGTGAGTTGTTGCAACGAAATTATCTTTTGTGCGCTACTGCGAAATTCTGCAGAATACCATATGTTAATATAAGCCAGGACCAAAGATTATTGTTCCTTCTGAAATATTCTGTATGTGTGTTCCTGCATCTGATGGAATCCTAGCCTTCTCTGCCGCAAAAAATCTGATCTCTAAAATTAGAAAACTAACATTGCGTTCTGGGTGCCCGACACTTTAATTCCAGTCTCTCGGAAGCTTTCGTCCAATCGAATAATGCTTTTCTATGCTTTCTAAAGAACGAAGCTATGCTATTGGTTAAAACAGAGATTTATTGTACGCCAATGAAAATCATTCTTGCGAGGAGCTGCAAGTTGCAACACCACCCTTTCCAGTCCCTGAAAACAAGCAAGTTTGGCGCCATTTTCCCCCAAATTTAGAGTTCTTTCCTTTGATTGGCTAAAACTTTCCACGCGTGGGAAGGACGAAGCTCGCGCGACGTAAACTGTTGTGTCGCCAATCGCCATCTTGTTTGGACCATCTTAGAATTTGCTGTATTTTTCATCAATTTAGTTTATAACAAGAACATATCTTTAAGCATTATTATGGGCAAACGAGGTAAGAATGCACAAAAATACAAACCAGAAGTTGAAGAAGAAGAGGAAGATTATGTGGTTGAAAAAATTGTTGACGAACGAATAGTTGATGGTAGACTCGAGTATTTCTTGAAGTGGAAGGGTTATTCTTCGCTCGATAACACATGGGAACCCGCAAATAATCTAGATTGTCCTGAGCTTCTTGAACAGTTCAAGAAGACCCGAGGCGGAGTTCCCCCTAGAGAATCGTCTTCAGAATCGGATTCGCGAAAGAGAAAAGCTGATGAAAATACAAATTCAAGTTCCGATTTAAAGATTTCTAAAACGTAAGATTTTACACATTTACACTATTACATGTGCACTCTACTTGTATGTGTTATTCTGTCAAATAGTCCACTGCATTAAAAAAGGGCTGTTCTTTCTTTCGCTATCGTATTTTGAGACAATAGTCCTTGTATTATAGTATGATGATTCTCAACTGCATGTGCTCTTGATAATTTATGCATCATAATTTACTTGAAGCAAGCGTAATTATTGTTCAGCATTGCAATATGGTTGAAGGATTGGAATAACTATAGAATACACTGCCATGCATTAAAACAGCACCTTTCAGCAAATAAACCCACAGTTTTACCCTTTATTAAGATCCACATATATGTTTTCCTATAAAACATTTGAAATTAATTGAAAAAAAGAAAAATGCAATAAGGAAGATAATTCATCTATGTTAGCATCACCAAGGTTCATGGTGCCTATTGCCTAACAAAATGTTTAGCATAGAGCCATTATTTGCTAGTTATTTGACAAGGCTAAAAACAACACATATAGAAAAACAAAGAAGAAGAAAACTAACTCTGGTTCAACAAAGGCTTCAAGATCTGATGGAAATGATGATGACAAGTCAACTACTACAGAGGCAGAAATAGAAATAAGTGCAGCTAATGGTCAAGAAGTTGATCAAGTATCTGGATTTGAACGAGGCCTTGAAGCTGAAAAAATTCTTGGTGCTACTGAAGTTGATAATGAAATCCATTTTCTTGTCAAATGGTATAGTATAATGTCATACTAATTTTTTAATGGTTTTTAGCTTATTAAATTTAATTCAGAAAAACATCTTTATAAAGCTACACTTAATGTGTTCAGAGAGCAAAGTCTGAAAACAGATCATTTAGTGGTAACATTTTTTCTTATTTTTTTAGGAAAGGCTCAGATGATGCTGACTTGGTTCTTGCAAAAGAATGCAACACTAAATGTCCACAAACAGTAATTAAATTTTATGAAGATCGCGTTACCTGGATACAAAAGAATGAAGATGATGGTGGGGACAAGGGTAATGTGACTAACTCTTTTAAAACTGGTCACTTTGCAATGTTTTAGAGCTATTATTGGCTCCCTTAAATCTGCACCGCCCTTCCCTCTAACTATAGAGATATAATTGAGTTTTATCTGACCAGATACAAATGTTAAGTTTAATGAAAATGGACTTAGAAGTTCAATAAGAACCTCATGTCCTGGGTTATCTTACCATAGTAACTTCTTTGAATCTTGTGTCTAATATGTTCATTTCATTTATCTTATGTCTTGAAAGACATTCAGCAACTTTGTATAATTTGATACTGTGAATAGGTGATATATTAAAGCATCATCTGGGAATGATATTTGAATAACAATAGAATTGCAGTTTGGTTTTTAGTCCACTTCTGTTTTATTAATTGTTTCATTTTTACATTTTTTTAGATGAGTAAAGATAGAAGTATTGGTTATAACTGACAAGAACAGACTGTGTAAAGCACATGCAGCTAGATCATGGAAACTGTAAATAGTACCTGAGGGATTTTTAGACCACTTTAATCCATGTTTGAAATGACATTGCAAATGACTATGTATACACTTGTACTTGTAGTATTGTATGTGCTTATATTGAAGATTGTTTAGATCCTGAGGGGGTTACTGTGTACGAAAACAATTTTATCTCATGAAGGCTACGAAAAAACAAAATATGTTCTTCTCCTGTGGAACTACTTAATTCATCTTGTTCAAATAATTCCTGAGAAAGCTTGTTATATTTTCAATTATTATGCATTAATGTAACAAGCTACTTTGGTCATATATTTATTTCCCTACACCCAGTCATCTATGCCAATTATAACATCTGAAAATATGTTCTGAATAAATTGCTTAAAACTGGCCAAATTTCATTCGTACCAAACCAAATCGTGCGTTGTGTAAATTAGGCTCCGTGTGGGCGAAGGTCTCCTCACGCGGCCCGGGACAGATGGACTGAAAAAAGCGCCCGGGGCGTAATGAACACCCACCTTGATCATGATAGCCTTAGGATTATTGTAATACGCTAAATATTCTCCAGATCGAGATGTGATCACCATAGGAGAACTCTTCAAAGCCAACACAAAAATATATATTGCGGGAAAATATTTACAAATATATAAAACGACGGTCTGTGTGAGTTTCGGTTCTTACGTATGCTACATTATTCTTTTACCTTATTTTACATTAAATAATTATAAATTAGTTCTTGGTTCGGGGATAAGATTCTCAAGTCCGGTGGTGTGGTCTTGTGGTAAATATACTCCTGCAACTTTTTTCTCCGGTTTCTTTCCTCCTTTTACTCGTTTCCATTTCATCCGTCGATTCTGAAACCAAACCTTGACTTGGCGTTCCGTCAGGTCGAGGCTCACGGCTATCTCGTAACGACGTAGTCTCGTCAGGTAGTTGTTACGATTGAATTCATTTTCGAGTTCTTGAATTTGATGTTTCGTAAATGCCGTTCTTTCTTTTCTCTTTTTCGCTGATTTACACGAGGAGATTTTGTCTAAAAAACAATTATATAGTTGTATTCATTAGATTATTTGTGTCAGGCAACCCAGTGTGCGAAATTCCGGGCATAAATTACAAGCAACCAACCCCCCGATGAACTAGGAAAATACGACGGTACGAAGGCTAGGATGACGGGGGAAATTTTTAATAATTTGGAGTGTTTGACAAGCGATTAATTTGCCTTTTGGGCTGAGATTTTTCCTATGGAGTTGACATTCAAAGAAAATTCCTAGGCTATCGAACACAAATTGCGGCCAATTTTTCACCAATTCTTTCGAGTTCGGAGTTCCCTTGTACGCCTTTGCCTAATGTTCTGTAAAAGTTGTGCTGTAACGTAGCGGACGATGAATATTCTAGATTCAGCTGCATGCTTTGTCCGCAACTAAGTCGTAACGCATACTTTTATAAAGGTCTATATAAGTTTCCTGGCTATTTAACTGTGTCCGTTATGTTACCTATGTCATAACAAATTGGAATAGTAATCGTGCAGTCAATAAATTTTGAGCAATGAAAAGTTAGGAAAACTAATCGTTTATTAGAAACGGTCGTTATGCAAATAGGCAAAATTGCCATATACTGGCGACATCTGCCTGTGACAATGTGACCTAACGGTAATATGAGTATCAGGCAATTTTTCATCGCCGAATGAAGACAGCGTGGCACTAAGGTTAGTCTAACGGCGAAGTTGATTCCGGTAGAATGATAAAACACACACATTTTGATCAGCCATAACGAAAAAGATTGAATTAACATTTTACTATAATACATTGCTGTTCATCATTCAAAGAGGTAAAACGAAAACTTAGAAGATCAGGCAAATCTTGTGTCAATATTTCATGTTCCCTGTTTGGGTGTTTTTCATTTCGTGCTTTTTTGTGCTTGATGTTCACCGCAGCGTGGGCCGTTGAGCGAAGGTGGAGAAACCCTGGGTACGAAGTTAGGTGCTCACTACATTTTCTCTTTGAACCTGTTTCCTAATCGCCACTTTTTCCTAACCGCAAAGGATGAAATCCGTCGTGGTTTAAAGGTAAAAATATTTTTTGGCCAGTATGGAAAAACATTTCTAAAGCAAATGTGGGCGTGAATACGAGGAAACAGTTACCCAAAATATATTGCATAAACCAAAATAACCTTAAGGGGTTCTATCTCAAGTTTGCGCAATAATTCAAGTTGTGCCTAATAATAAAAGCTGTGCGCAATAATAAAAGTTGTCTAGTTCTTTTACTCTGAAAACCTTTTTTCTCAATAATTGTGAATAAAACACAGAGATCCTATCAGTAGATTGGACGGGTCTTTTTCATCTTAAGTATGTGATCTACCTTCGTGATTATCTCTGGTATTGCGCACAGTGCTCTTATAACTCACCGATAACAAGTAAAATTTTTCATATGTGGTTTTCTTTCGATGGAAAATCAAGGTTTTGTCAACCAAATATTTAAAACATTTGGTTTTTAGAAATCTGGCTGCAACATGGTCATCGTTGAATTAATATACGACTTCACCACGCATTACTGATTATCAGTATGTTTTCTTTGTTTTTTGATTGCAGACCTGCATGATTTATTGCAACCGTTATTTGTTATTCTTATAGGCAACGAAATATTTATAGTAAAGATCTGTCTCTTAATTTAATCTACAAGAACCCTCCCTCAAGAGATCCTTTGTGGAAATGTGTTTTTAGTAACATTCCGTAGCTACAATATACTATTAGATAATTTATTATGCGTGCGCTGCTACAGAAATATTCGCGCTATACAGCACCATGCATGCAGTCATGCGATCATGATTTTCACGGAACGCGCGAGAAAGCCATAAAGTATTATTCGCAGAGATTATTTTTGCGCACTGATACCTATGTTCCTAAACTCTTTTTTCGTTTGTATTATCACAGCATCCCGCACAAAATTCTGCAAACCATTCTCTATAGTTTTACACGTCATGCTAGTCAACTCCAAGCAGATTTCGACAGCTTGACCTACACCTAACTGCCATATTCATAATCAACTCTTCCATATTTTATGTGTTTGCATGTCTCATACGATGTTTGCGCTTTGCCGCTTTGGACAAAGGCCGGACTAATCAAAGGTGATGCTCCTTTCACCACTCAGGGAAACAGAATGTATAAATATCAACATATGACCTTAAGATATTGCTGTTGCTGTATGTATATTTTATCAAAAGGTTTCCATTTGAAATGGCTTGAAGCGTCCATGTGATGCAAGAGGTCAGCAATTCATTTTTTATCACGTATGCGTTATTATTATTTTGCTTGGCAACACATACTCTGCTATATTTAGAAGTTTGTTTTGTAGTTTGCAAAAGTGCAATCTCGGCGGTTTTATCTATTTTTCTATACAAAGAGAATGAAAATATATAGCTAGAAAAAAGACCAAATATTGATCATTTAATCATCATACATGCACCACAATATAAAAATTGCGATGGTTTAGAATTAGATCAGTTTATATTGACCTTCTTCGACTATTTTCCTTTACACATGCCACACATGACCACGTCGGGAATTGGGTTGGGCACTTCATAATTTAAGCTGTCATGAGCGCGCTCTCTATTCTTGCCGACTTTATTAATATCCACATGTCATTAAGATGGCTCGTGTTAACAATTGCTCAAATGTTTCGGTCTACGCTTAACAAACCTACTTCATTAAAATCACCAGGATACATCATTAACTGCTGCCATTTTGGCCTTTTTCGAGACAGAAACGCCGAAAAAGAATTGCTAAAGTTACCTTATGAATATGAATTAGGGTGCAATAAATCAGTACATTCTCGCGAAGATGCTTTAAAATACGTTTCATTTTAATGCAATTTTTATGATGTGTAAAAATGCTTTCAAAAAAACAATCGTTGATCGCAGGTCTATCAGCCCTTCATCACCATCAATATTCTCATGTGTTAAATATTGACACATTTACTCTTCATTTATTTTGCATCTCAATTATTTTGATTGTTTTACACTTTCTGATTGGTTTCTGATTTTCAGTGCCTATGGGAAATGCATGCATGACCTACACGGAACCGATATTTTAAAACTCAAAATAACTATACAGCCTTCCCACGATAGAAAGATTTTCGTAGTAACTTTTCGTTAGAAATGCATGTATTTATACGATTACATTATTAACGAACTTATATCACGAATCTATATAGTTTGACAGCCAATTGAGCCACAACACGCGTAATATTGCCCATTTTTTTATACTCATCATCATACGTAAATGATGACGCAGATGATATATTAGATAACTATATATAGAGAGTAGTATGCATGGGTAAATGAAAATTTAACACCATTATATTCTTAATTTTGCTGTAGAATGTTACACATTTTTGCAGCAGATAGAAAAAGACAAAGTATGTCTCACGGGCGCTAGCGTTAATGCCAGCATGCATGGTTAAAGTTCTTTTAATTTTACAACTTGCATTGTCATGAATGTAAGACTGAGCTATGTTTTATTAGGATTATATAACAAGACCAGACTGGGCTGAAGTTTCAGTTAGCAGGACTGGCTGGAATTCAGTCCGAACTGAAAAGTCTCGATGTGATCTCAGCGGCTACGAAAATTTATATTAGCGACGCTTTTGAAAAGTGATAAACCTTTTTTGAAGGGGATAACTTTTAATAATGCGCATAGACTAGCTAGGGTGGAACATTTAAATCATTTATTACACGGGTAAAAGGAGTACAAGCTTCAGTGTAACCCTGCAGGCATATTAAGCAGGGACAAAACAAAAATATTCAAATTCCAAAAACAAAATTGTTTCAGTTTTTCCAAAGGCAAAGCGGTATTTTTTTCCTAGATCATGCCGATAGGATTGTCTGCAGAATTAATTAGGAAATGTGTGAACATGAAGGTCGAGGACATGCGGAATTGTGAACTGTGGTAAATGCTGTTGCATCTCGAAAGCCATACTCATCAGTCGCAGTCGGTAGTTGTAAAGGCTTTCTGCAGATAAAAAAACAATTCAAAGCGAACAAGATATTAGAAAATGTAGAAGAATATATATCAACTTCATTCAGTTTTAATAAAGATACAAGCCAATAAGAACATCTTATGAAGGAGGGCGGTTAACTTGTAGCTGGTCATATATACTAAATATAGAGTGAGATCATATTTGTTATATTGAACGAAAAAGTTCGGAAAATTACTGCTTTATTTTGAATGTACTTTGTATTCTATTGCTTGAAAACCTTTTTATATTTTCATATTTTTCTTTGCATGTTTCCGAAGGAGGAATGAATGTGAACTAAAACTCCGTGCGCGGTTATAAGACAATATATAGATACCGTCCTAAATCGTTTGACGTTAACGTATAGTTATATATATAGTTAGAAATCTATATTTACTATCCTATTATCTTCATTCTGCTTTACAATAAGGAAAACTCGCGAATGAATGTTTATTAAAGTACAACGTTTAATGCTTAGCCTTGGAAATACAACCCAATAATCCCGCATTCTCGTGACACACAGTTGTGTCTCTTAAGAAGTGCTCCGGTCTTGTGATAGTTTCACATTAGATGCATGATTCTTAGTTATAACTAATATATACTAAGAAAAATGGCAATAATCATGTTTTTGCAAGCTATTAACCTGATAATGTTTTTTATACAGCATTTTCACCTTGGATACATGATGTAGGAATATATAAATATGCTCAAACAAAACGCGGAAGATCGACTCCAACCTCTTGATCGACTCGGGTCAATTTGCCATGCAATGCATGAGAAAAACTGAGTAGGCTATAGATTGTAATTTCCGAAAAGTGCTCGCATGTGACATAGCGAACTTTCACTAAGTATATTTATCTATATTTACGTGTACTCACATGATACATTCATACATTAATCTCTTGTCTTATATATAAACGTTGTTATATATATATACGGATCATAGGCAATATAGGCGATGCATCACCGGCAAAACTGAAGTATTAAATGTCGTTTTCGGTGCAAAATTTTGACTAGTATATAATATCCGAATGATTGACCCTTGGAACGTTGGACAGTAAAATAAATATCTTAGTAAACAGATTAATTTTATGGAAATATTTATGATGAAATTTACTCCTTTATCAAGAGGAACTTGTTACGATATAAAATTTCACGATTTCTCTCGGTTACTTGAAAAATGCCGACCAATAGGATGTTATTGAATATCTGGAGTTAATAGGGATTATACTATTCCAGTGAAAAATAATCGCAATTCACAATTTCCCACCTCATTTAGTCATTAAAATTTTTTACACCATTTGTTAGCAGAAATATTCGCTTAATTTATCTGCGTCGGAATCATATTAAACCCGCTTAAATAAACACGGAGAAAAGGTGGGAAGCATATGTCTTCAAGATTTGGCTTATTTTGTGCTGGTTTAGAATGACAACTTTGCCAAGAAGAATGTGTGCAAATGAGTAACAGAATCCAAGTGACAAACATTCGCGCGTTTTTTTGAGGAACCGAAAGGAAACTATTCATTGAGTAAAATAAAAAAAGGGTTGAAATAATTATGCATGCATGCGTGCGCCAATAGGCAATAATATTTTATACATGTAGTGTTGTTTTAATTTTGCTTTGTGAAGATTAATTTTTTCTCGTGTATATTTACCCTGAATAGTTTTATACACTTTTAATATATTTATATTTCTCGTAAATGTTTCCTAAGTCTTTTGGGTTTAGGTTATAAATTCGATTAAAATGGCATGCACTTAAGACATATACTTAGTCTTTCTATTAGGCGACTTTGAAGCCAAATGCAACAATATAAGGGTTAAAAGGCCCTAAAAATACGCGCATAGTCTAAATTCAGCAGGTTTGAACGAGTAACATTAATAGTTTCGGAGCTATAAAATGTTCAACTTTATACCAGTGTGTATAAAATATGGATATATAATTGACAAGTGATCACATTTGCATCCTTTATCTACGATAGTGTGAATTAGTACCCGTGCTGGGTCAACTAAAATACAAACGAAATTCCAGGGCAAAATATATATTCACTTGCAAATATATCTACAAACAAGCACATCGTGTTTGTCTACATTTTTCGTTTCCGCACGAAAACCTCAACCTTTAAGTTTCATTAAAACACGATGATAATTTGTTGTAGCTTGATTTCTGTGAACGATCGTGGAAGAGTAATTATACGTATATGTCGCGCGCCATATATATATATACATCATTCCGTCCAGCCAGGTCTGGCATATCCATCATCTTTTTGATTAAGATTTAAACGTAAAATGACTAGGAAAATAGTTTAGTGTTATATAGTCTATGAACAAATAAATTAGAATTAGCACTTCATGAAATTAAAATCTTTTCATAAACAGCTAACATTGTGTTTTAGAGAGTATTGTAATTTTAAACCTAATTTTCTATGTCCAAGGAACTTACCATCAGAAATTGGTGAGATGGGGTTCTCGTCCAGCTCAGGCAGTAAATCTCTTGCTGGATGTCGTGGGATATGGAGTAAGGCCTCGGTAGGTAGACTAGATCTGTTGAAGTTGCTTTGAAGAGGATCACTGTAAACGTTCATATTACAGTTTTGAGCTGAAACTCTGGCCGCATTAGGAACAGACGGCAGCGAAGGAAGCGAATAACTGCAGCGGTTTGGAAAACTCTGAGAAGGAGTTCGTGCATAGTTATTGAAGTTATATCTCGCAGGAGAATTGTAATAACAGGATTGTGTATTTTGTATGCTTTGTTCTGGCGTTCCAATATTATAACCAGTATGGCTTCCTGCATATCCAAATGCTGCGGGACTGGAATACATGTTTCTCTGTTGTGAAACATACATCTGTATAATAGCAAGCTCGTGATCTTCACTTCAGTGCTCTGAAACAGCCAGCCAACTGAAAATGCCGAAGCACGTCAGACTCGTATATAACGCACCACGTGAAGCCACGGTAATTGATACACTTGTATGTCGATCACCTCGGCTAACGCGGCGACTGTGCCATCGGAAACACAAGGCATCTAAAACATTGCCTTTTGCGTCAGAGTTCAAGAAGTAAACAAAACAATTGGTTTTATGAGAAACCTAGCGGCCATACTCAAGTTTTGTTTCGAAAGTGTTCCTGTGAGGAACATATTTTTGAGGCTCAAGTTATCAGTGCGACGGCAACACAAACATTGAGAACGTGTTATTAACTAGCTAACAAATTAGCCGCAGTCCCGATCACCTGCTAAAGCCATTAGTTAGGCTAACTTAAACATATAAAATTCATAGCATCATAAGTAAATACCTCCCAAGGGTTATTTTGCTTTTTGTCTACAAATCATTTAAAATTCAGTAAAGCAAATAAGTTACAACTTTATCAATTGGTAACTATTGCAGTAAAATATTTCAAATGTTCGAATTGTTTAACTAAAAGCGCACGCCTTTACAGAGCGCAGATTATGCAAAATAGGTTCATTCTATATAAAATTATGCTGCAGAGTTTAAAGCCGGTGGAACGGGCTTTAGCAAAGGTAGACCACTCACAGTGTGGCCAATACTGGTATCTTGTTGAAAGTAATTTAATCAAAGCAACAAGTGTTATCTTGCTAATTACATTATAATAACCTCGTAGAAAGCTGACTTTATGGCTTTTATCAAAAGATCAGTGGCGGGAGAAAACTAATTAAAGAGTTCTGATACAGAGATCAAAGACGATTCCGCTCAGCTTCTTCTTAAATATTTTCTACTTCGATAGATGCTTATCGTTCTAACATTCACTTTATAAGGCTTTTCAGATTCGAGGCTTTTCAGAGCCCCACGAGCCACTTGGCTCGTACATCATCACCGCACTTGAGATGCCCCGAAAATCCTGTTAGCAAAATCACGATACATTATTTTATTGCCTTAATTGTTTAAACTGTTCAGGGTTGAAACTAAAGTTTCTTTGTTTCATAACGACTTATCTCAATCAATCTAATTTTCCATTTAATGTTCCAATTATTTTACTATCCTTTTTTAGAAAATAATATGACATTGTCCTTTATAGTTTTTACTGGTTTAGTTCTTAAAGAAAGTGGTAAAACATACATAAAAGGCGAGGATATGCTATAAAAAATGCGCAGTCATAATATGGATAGAATGCTTTCATAAAAAATGTAAAAAGCTAGGCATGCTTCATTGTTAATAAATTCAAATATCCATGTAGCTTTAAAGAGATCTAAAATAGCAGGCCATCGTAGGCTGTAAGCCATATGTCGCAAATTAACAAACATCCTCCGCCGAAGTAATTTAAAACACAACCCGCGGCTTGGCTAAATAAACATCTCGCAAAGTCGGCATATTTGATTTCCCTCACGGTCGCGTCTCACAGACCAGCACTCCAGAACCCTCTGTGCAAAATTGCGACAGTAGAAAAACCGACCGAATGATCTATCTACAGATGATCTATGTTGATCAGAGCCGGGACACAATGCTATTCGGCGAGGACCTACAAGGCGGAAACGGGGCACATAATTATTGCGCATGTCTGCATTCAGCGGAAAGATAGTCATAATAAAAATATCTTTCATCGACAACTTGTGATGAAAACTGGCTTTTAATTTTGATTTGATGGGGGATATAATGCTGGTCCAACACTTGCTGTTGGGTCTAATTTTGGTCAAGAAATGTGTATTTTAAGAACAATAGGGTGGACTTTATAAACTAACTTTGAAAAGACCGCAGTAGTTGCAACCTCACCCACGATGCGAATACCAAAGACAAATGATACCTTTCATCTTGCCGTTTCTTTTCTACAGGCGCGCTGCTCTTTTCGCGCGGAATCTTTTCACTGCAAATTTCACTTTTCTCTTCCGTTTTGAGATCAAATGGGTCATGTTTTGTTTATTAGATTCTGTCAGACTTTTAAACATCAAAACATTCTCAATATAGTTTCTCTTTCACGAAGCTGTTGCGTGTCACATTCCTATAATCAGAACACCCACTAAACTGAGCCTCCCGACACACCTATTACCAGCATGGAAATTTTATTGCTTTCACAGTTTTCCGCAACAAAAGTTTCCCGCCCGCGCAATATGTTAAATTTCTGAACAAGCATCTGCATTTTGCTGGTATATTCAGGTATACGATTGGGATTACGTCAGGTTATGTGAACTGGTCAGACAAATGAATGTGTAGTATATACTGTTATAAGTTCAAGTGTGAGCGGACTAATTACTGCGGCTCGTGCAGTAAATTGGATTTATAAACAGGTTTTAACAATGTTAAACAGTCATGCTGTGAGATCATTCAACCGATACAACCCAACTTGAAACAAACACAATGCGCTTGGACCGCTAAATATTAACACAAGAGATTAAAGAAACAAAGCTAAAAATTCCCAATTCAGAGTTTGGTTTTTAATCTTAACCGCATCAATATTTTGGCGATACTGAAGCGATAGTGTTTTGTTTTCAAATGGAACTCTTTACAAATGAAAATCGTCAAAAAGCCTACATATTTTTTGATGAAGTAAACAAATGATGGACTAATTACATAGTAAACAGGGCCAAGAAAACAAATGGAAACAAATAGCTCATGGATAATTCAAATCCACGTCATTCAGTCTGTTTCATAACTATTGCTTCCCTCGATACATATATCTCTTAATGCAATACGGTCACGAATTCAACTGTAGTTACAGTGTGGTGTGGTTTTTATAAAACTGACTAGTTATATTTGTAAAGTATACTGTTGTTTTCAAGTGTTCTGTTCTTCACAGTTTGTGTAAAAAGAACAATTATGTTAATGTCGTTCAAGTTCAACAGTCATTCTTGTCCCCGCGGTTCGTCAATAGTGTGCCAAGATTTTGTGATTTTTCTCTAAAACCGATTTAGGGAAAAACATTTTTTATGCTGCTAACTTGTTTAATATGATATTGATAATATTATCATAAAGCGAGGACAATTACAAATGGCTAAAAGGCGATTACGCACGTTGGATGTTTATAGCTACGTCATAATGGCTGCTACGTTTTGCTTCACTTTCAAACATACAGGATGTTACCTAAAAAAAATAAGCTTTATATCTGGTTTCAAATTTCTATCCTTGAGAAAGATGTACAACTAAAACTTTTATATTTTAATATCCTTTTTGTTTGGAATGATTTGAATAAGATCAATTTATAAGACCACAGATGAAGTTTCGAGATGTCACCCAACCTCATACCCAGGGTGTCGCCTCCACAGAACCCGTCTCGCACATGATGTTAAATCGGCTGTAAAACCTAAAAGTACACGGACACCAAAGACATGCAATGAAACATAAAACAGAAGACATGTCATTCAAACACCGTTTTGTATTCCACAAGTGTTAAACATGAATAGAGGCATAAATAAGGTAGAAAAATCCATGTTCACCGGCTTTCGTTCAAATTTTCTTTTAATTATGCATAGAACTGGTTTTAGGGCAACTCTTGTTTAGGTAAATATACAGGTGTTATTTGCATGAGTTGAGTATTTATTCTATCAAAATCAAAACGGTAACAAATCGATCTCAACGACATGCTTATACTTCTTTCATGTCGACCAGTCGACCTCATTGGTGTATTACTGAAAAGTGTTTACGTGAACTATTCATGCATGCCTAAATTATTTTGCGTAGGATTGTGAGCTAAGATATTTTTTCATTGTTATCATTATCTTTATTCTCATCGAAATTTCAAAACCCAAACATGACGCAAGGACAAAATATGATGGTGAAAACATTACGAAGATAAACCAAAATATAGTATAAAACATGGCTTTCGGCCCGTTTTCTGCCACTTTTTATTGGATATGACTAAAATGTTGTCATGACTTTGAAGCCTCCGGGAACGCAGGCCGTTGTTTGGGGACTGGGAGCGGATGTATTTGTATAATCATCATAATCCTAAAATGCTTGCTAAATTTAGATTACAACAGATCTCCTATAAAGATATTCATAGCGTTCCGCCTAATAGCAGTCGAGAGTCAAAACGATCTCAACAATACCGTTATTATTTTTTTCTGCCCGTCTGAGAGGTGTAAAACATAGGATTTCTCTAGATTTAAGCTCAATGGTCAGTTTTTTCAAAGCTATTGATGTGGTGGTGCAATAATTTTAACTAACACTTGCAAATAGAGTTGAATGGATTACACTTAGCTGTTATATTAATCCCACACAAAAAATCTGTAAATAGGTTCGAAATTTGTCAGTGAACAATTTTGGCTGACATGCAGTTGCTTTTCTTTTTAATGATTCATTAGCTAAAGACACCCGTCGGGAAAATAGCTATTTTGTTGCCCAAGTTCCTAAGGTCAATTTAAAAACTTTGCTAAACTTAATTTGATGTATGCAAGGACCATGAAGCCAAAGCAGCATTCCTAGAAATTGGTGTGCATTGGCTGTACGCACGGCGCGGTTCAATTATCTTCAGATTTCAGAGAATTCAGTTTTGTCTTTCTTATTGTCTTTCGTCGACACTAATGAATGGCCGGACGACTTTGGGGTGATGTATCCGTTAATTCCATAGATTCGAGAAACCTAATATTCGGGAAAAATTCATGTAATTGCGACTTTTCGTTTTTCCGGTCAAGCCAAGACTTTGAGATTTGTGAAAATATAAACAGGGTAATATTTTAGTGATCGGAATGTTTGTACCAGTAAATATCAAGGCATTATCCCACGATTAATTAATATTCGGCTCGTTTGTAAAACATGTTTATAGTAATTATACACTTTTACTTGTTTCAATTTTCCTGTTTATTTTTTTAATACAGTTTGGCTTTTAACATGACCAAACGTCAGAAATGGTTTTGCAAAGCATCATGGTTTTGGCATATGATTATGTTTACAATTACTACAGGAATATTCCGTGCAGGATTGCATGACGGAGGGATGTATAGCGAGACTTAATTCCGAAAATCGAATGGATCATGCAATCATTCACGGAAAATCCGTTTGGTAATTTTTTCTATAAAATTGCTAGAGTGAAACACAACGACTTTCAAACATTTAGCCAGTTAGACTACATTCACAAATCACACAGAATCACACGTTTTTCTCGTTTGAACACGCAGAAGCGGTCAAATTTTCATCCATTTTTACGGTGTGAGTGTAGCCCTAAAAACCTTCAATTTAAAATGCCACCTGCCAAATTAAATTATTTGTTATTAGGCAGTGTGTTTCACTCTAGCTTTTATATAAACGATCTTTCTCCTCAATCACCAGTTATGAACATTTCAGTCTATTACGGTAAGCGGTAACGCTTGATCAAGGGGGAAAAATGGTCTTCATTTTTTGTTCAATTCTATATTTAAAGTAAAAGTGCGACCATCGAGCTTCAAGAAAAGCACAATCGTCCGGAAAAACCCCCAGACACCGAAATCATCTTGAAAAGAGAAAACACGATGAAAGTCAACAAACGATGTTTTGCAAACATTCTCTTGTTTGCATTGCAAAAATTATTTTTAACTTGCCTAAGGACATGCAACTTTTTTCTTTTATTACAAACTGGAAATATTAAAAATATTTTATAAGGGAAACAGACAAAGACTTCCCCAATCTTTATCTACTAGTCTTTTCAGGAAGCGTCCTGATCAATATTAGCAAAAACTGACCAATTCAAGGAATGGAAAATCTGCAGCCAACCGACATACTGGAACAGTCAAAGGACTATTTTAAAGACTTTCAATTCGATATTGTGTCTGTTTCAACTTCACGATTTAGGAAAAGTGATTTTGTGTATATATAGACTGTAAAAAAATTAGGTTCTAAGTTAATAATACTTATAATACTAACTAAATACACGAACCCACAAGCTTTGTAGCTTTAAAAATTAATATCGTGTCTAAATAAAGGCATATTGTATCGTATCGTATCGTAACTTGTATGCCTCGCTACAGAAGGGCTCTTACACAAAATCTGCCCCCTTTGCCCTCGCATCGACGAAATCGTTGTTCCAGCGTCTTCTTCAGTTCAACTTTTGTACTTCATAATTCCATCGTTTTTGTACAGAAAGCTTTTTATTTCTTCGTGAATTGCGTAATAAAACTGGGTGCCCTAATAATTTAATTTTAAAACTTTCAGAAGCAAGGAATCTGAGAAATCATTTCACATGATAACTCACTTTTGTTGTGACGGCCTATGACGTCGTCATCTTAGATCAGCTGGCCAAGGGGGGAAACGTTAATACCTAACAAAACAAAAAACAAATAATACTCAGTAAACTCAAATAAAAGTAAGTCAAATCAAATATGTCACTGATCACAGTCATGCTACCTGTATATACAGGTCAGTGGTTGCCGGTGAGACGTTCACGTCACCTTGGTAACGAAACATGGCGGCTGTTTTGGCTGATCCAGAGTCAGAAATGCCAAATGATATGGACGAAGATGGCTATATTTTGGAACGTATCCTTTTATATTGCCAACATTTTTTCAAAAAACATTCTCGTTCACTTTATGTGATCAAATTTCTCGAAATTGCTGCAATTTCCCTCCTTTGAGTACTGTACTTGTACTAGTTCACTTAGTTCAGGGACCAGTCACTATTGGTCTTGACATAACACAGCCACCGGACTGCTTTTAGGACCTCATGATGTATAATTATTTTATAAATTTCATTTTATCTATTAAGCTGACTGGAATTCTGGAGGTGTGCAAATCGCGCTCCAGAGATTTCAAAAAATACGAGTAAATAAATAGTTCAGTAGAAGACATAAAAATTGCACTCCCACTATCTCAGTTGAGCGATTATACATGCTTTTAACTTAACTACTGTACTAGAGGTTACAATTCCTGATTACAATGATGAGGATTTCATATATGAAGAGGTGAAGTTCAAACAATTGCATCTCTCTAGAAATATGCATTACCTAATATCAACATTTCATTCAAAATCTTCACCACTTTTATAATTTTATTAATAATATAATACACATAATATTCCATCACTTTTTAATAAAGGTTCCAGTTGATGACAACTTTTCTGTGTCAGGTATGTATGACTGATTAATTACAGTACTAATGTTTGGACATCTTCAATGTGGCATCCATATAATATTTCTTCACTCATGTCTGTCAATTTTAAAGTACATACAAGATGTCCATATAAGCACACTAACTATTTCCAAGTTTAAAGAACTTTTGCGTGCATAGTAAGTCCTACCTAGACCACATTGTGAAACTAGACACATGTGTACTTCTGGGCCAAATAGAGTTATTGTCACTGATATTATATTTTTTATACTTTACAAACACATATAATTTATTCCATGCAGAAGGAAGTGAAGATTTTGAAACTGCAATCAAAGCATTGAAAGAGGAAATTGTGGATAATACTGTTTTACAGGTATTAGTATTTAATTTAAGGAAATATAGGTTTTAGAGATAATAGTAAACCTTTAATGAAGGTAAATAGTTAAACATGATTTGTGTCACTGTTATGTTAGAACTGTCATGATAATGAATAAATTCAGTTCTGTTAGGAGTATAACCCTAAATATTTCTGGTGGGGTCAAAGTGTCAATATATGTCATCTAATTTACACTAAAACTACATTTCAGCTAGCCAGCTCCAGCACGATTTTCAGTAGTTTTAGTGCATTTCTCATTCATCATGATCATGAACATTACCCAAGGAACTCTTTTCTGAATAATATAGTTTTGTTGCCATTGTTCTTTTTGCCAATTAGCTTCCATATCAAAAGGGAAAAAGATCAAGATTTGTTTAATATTTTTTTTGCAATGAGGCTATATGTGTATTGGGTTCATTAATAATTTAATGATTAATTTAATGATTTAATGAGTATAATTTCTCACTGTAGCAAAAGCCAACCACAACTACATCATCTGAAGCTACTGTTACATTGGTAGGTTTTTCACACCTGAAGTATTCATTATGTTCATTATTTATTTTTATGACTTAAAACTTTAGTCAAATGTGGTATAAAATTACTGCCGGAATGTGAAAAATATTTCTTGAAACTTTTTCAAACGTATAGGGCCTTGGTCAAGAGTTAGTATCATTCCCCTAATGCATGACTATAACATATAATTACTTTTCTCAGAGACCGGAAGTGGTTGATGATTTTGTGAGAAATTTTCTGGTAAAAATGGGAATGAAACGGACCTTGGATTGTTTTCAGACAGAGTGGTAAGTATGGTACAGTTCCACCAATCTCAATAATGAATCATAAATGTAATTGATTATCCTCTATTAGATGTTCATAATATATAATATAAACTATTATGCACATAGTTTATTAACTATATAGGAACAAACAACCATGTAAAATAAATAAATAGCCCACAATACAAGCTTGCAGGGCCGTACGTAGAGAAGAAATTCTGCGGTGCGATGACGTGAGATTCTTTTGGGAGTAAAACTTTTCTGGGACGGATTGATTGGTCGCATGGTCCAAGACGTCTTCAACCACTGTATTACATTTTATCATGTGGCTAATATTCGTTATTTTTATGTTCAAATGTGAAGGTACGAATTACAAGAATGTGGGCTTATAAATAAAGAAGAGGTGCAAGTTGTTCCAGATATTTACGTCAGGTTTGCATTTCTATCCATTCAATATTTTTTCAGATTTAAGCTGTCAGTTTACGTCACCGCTCGTATTTGTATTTTAAAAAAAATTTAAAACGATTTGAATTTGTCTTTCGACATGCCAAAACGTTAGTCTTTCTATTCTTTGGTTTTTTATATTACTTTAATTCCTACTGTATAGACTATGGTCGAAATTTCTTTTATTTCTTTAGAAATGAACATTTAGATGACCTGGTTAAGTCTTTACGCGACGAAGTTATGCGATTCAAGGATGCTGCAGAGTACGTCTACAATTCTTTTTGCTTTCACTCTGATTCATAATGTTATTGCAGTTGTATCAACAGAGAACATTTTTTATATTCTTAACACTGGCATGGTCTAGATGGTTGTCGCGGATATAAAAATACTTTTTAAAATGCTAAAATTTTGTGTTAAAATTATGTCCTATTTTTCCATTCTCCAGTCGTGCACGTCAAACGTATGTGCGTCTAAGAAAAGAAAGAGATTTTCATCGAATGCATCATAAAAGAGTCGTTCAAGAGAAAAATAAACTGATTACAGATCTCAGGAGGTGAGAACTACATTCCACGTAGAGAGTAAAAGTAAATACTGATAAAAAAAGTACATGCATGCTGGGTCGAAGGTCTTACAGTAATCGTTGAAATTTTCGAAGAAACATACTTGGTCTCATTCATCTTTTTCTCTCACATTCGTACAGACTCAAGAAGCATTATGCGTCATATGAACCAACTTTGAAAACTTTAAAACAGAAATATGAGGTATAAAATTCGTTTTAAGATTATATAAAGCGTGTAAGCGTGCAATTTAATATTCATGGGTGCTATTTGTACACGATCTGCATGTTTCACTGTCATGCACAGATAATCAGCTGAGCTATATATACCTCAGTATTAAATATTTAAGTGCGTTAGCACATGCATGAGAGACATTTGTGACTGTTTAATGTGTAAAAAATACATTCCTGTTAGGTCGCTTTAAAGGAAAAAATGTTAACAAAATTGGAGCGAGATCGAGCGGTCGGACAGGTGCGCATTATTGATTTTATTTTAGCACAGCTACCGTATAACAACAGATATTCTGTAATCATGTCATTCGATAGTGAATCCTGATAATCGAGTCTATAAAAATGTGTGGATTTAGCGAATGCAACATACATAAATATTGTCGCTTAATTGCAGATTGTTGGTCTTCAAGCAAGTTTTCAACCTACTGCTGAAAACGTGGAAATGGAGGAATCTCTCGCAAGTAGAGGTACGGTATTCTATATACCACATGTAGCTACTATGGTCATGTGAAACAAATTACAGCTTTTTGTTTGTAATGATGCTCTCCTGTACATCGATCATGCAGGTAATGAAAATTTTGGAGTGAAGAAAAGTGATCCAGAAAGTCCGCCGAACAAAAATGATGTCCCAGCTGAAAACAAGCCTGTGAAACATCCAAAGGTTAGTCATCGTCTATGTGAAGCATGTGCAAATCTTGTTTCCTGCACAAGCCATAATTTATTTTCCAGCATGATTGTGTTGTATAAATACGTGTCTCCTTTGATCCTGTGTAGGATAGTGCCTTTCCTCAGGATATGGGAATCAATCCATTGCTTATTCAACACAAAGGACCATCGCCTCATCTCACTAGAGCTGGTGGTTTTAGACTGACCAATACAATCACTGCACATAATATGGCTGTTAGTTCGTAAGTATAGCTTTATGTATTTGATATGCTGCCATCGCATGTGATGTTGAGAAGGCATAGTACTTGTAGTGTAAACAGTCTTTATCACCTGGCGCCTTACTTGACTGATTCTACTTTTAGTAGTTTACTTTTAGTTTCTAAGAGAACAAACACTGCAGTTTATTTACTCATTTTATATAATTTTTTTAATTGTTTAAAACTGAATCTTATTTCAGCATTGCCCTTCATCCTCGCAAGCAAGTATTAACAACTTGTAGTGATGATCACACGTGGAAAATGTGGTCTGTTCCAAGGTACTTATATGCCAGTGTTCGTCAACGTAAAGCGTCATGCAGTAAAATTTTATTCCACGATATGGAAAATACAGGAGGAAGTTGTAAAAAACTCTTGCATGCGTGTTTATTATTTCAGTGGAGATATTATAATGACTGGCGAAGGACATAAAGACTGGATTGCAGATTGTGATTTTCATCCAGGGTAAGTGAAAGATTTATCGTCAAACAAGCAATGGCGCGTCGAACGGTTTTTGATGGAATAATATATTCATGTCACACTATAGAGAATTCGGTAGATGAACTAGGTTCCGCTAAGCAACGTTGTTCTGTACCCCACGAACATTGCTCTTTACAAATTGCAGCAACTTTTTAAAGCCTAACATTATAGATAGATCTCCAGTACCGTAAAATCATATCCTGACCATTCCTTTATTCTGATATTTTAACTTAAAAATTGTTTCAGTGGTGGTAGTTTGGCGACTGTTTCTGGTGATGCAACAGTCAAGATCTGGGATTTCACCAAATCGGAATGTGTTTTGACATTTACTGACCATATTCATGCGGTATGGGGCTGTTCCTGGCACTCCTGCGGTGACTTTCTTGCCACTTGCTCAATGGATTGTACTGGAAAAATATGGGATGTTAACAGGTATGATATATACCGCACTATATCGTTACCCATGCAGGATGTGTGATAATATAGTTGCTCTTTACAATTCATGTTTCCTTTATTTCTTAGCGAAAGATGTCGCTCAACTCTTCGTGGTCATGCTGACTCAGTAAACAGCATTACTTTTCTGCCATATTCTAATAATTTACTGACTTGCTCTGCTGACAAGACTATTTCTTTGTGGGATGCAAGAACGGTATTATTTTAAAATTATTTTATAATGAGGAATAAAATGAAAAACAAAATTTTGACTCTTCTTTCTCCTTTATTTTCAGAGTCTGTGTGGTCAAACCTTCTTTGGTCATATGCATTCTATCAATCACTGCGTTTTCAATTTGAGGGTAAGTATTGCTTCATGTCTAACCTCTTTACTTTGCATGTAATTAAAATGGTATATATAACTTTTTTCGTACTATAATTTAGGGAGATACAGTAGCCTCGTGCGATTCTTATGGTGTTATTAAGTTATGGGATGTTCGTACAGTTGGATGTCTTGCTAGTGTTGATCTTGGTCCTCACCCGGCTAACCGGGTAGCATTTGATCCAGGTTGTACGGTGCTAGCCGTGGCTAGTAATGATGGTTCTGTCAGAATGTATGACATTGCTTCAGGAAAACAATCTCAACTTACTGGCCACGAGGAGGCTGTTCAAACAGTTTTGTTTGACAAAACTGGAGAATTCTTGCTTTCTGCCGGCTCTGATGGGACCCTCAGAATTTGGTCTTGAGAAGAAAGCATGATCATAAGGCATTTATTCGCCAATTTAAAACTATTATTTATCGAGTGACATCTACGTTATGCATGTGATAGCTTAAGCCATAATTCAACTGTTTTCTGTGCGTGATTTAAACAAAAGGTCTATGCTTAGATGTCTTTATAGTAACATATTTTTAAACTTAAAAACGTTTTAAGTTGTCTAAATAGCTAAGTTTTAACTCATTTCTATGTGCTTTCCAACAGCAGTCGTTCAAAAGTCATGCAGTTTCATCAAAGTCATCAATTTTCCTCTTATTATAATACGGCAGCGAGACACAGAACAAAGTGCGTTTTACCATTTACAAACAATTATGTTTTACGTAAGTAATGAGTGCACTGGACTTTCAGGGACTGGTTGTATAAAACTCTTTAACTACACTTTGCTTAGTTTTTTAAATCCTAGTTAACTCAGAAATACACAACTCTGATTGGCCAATTTTGTTCTTAACTACAGTTAAAAGTTAACTAGTCTTTTATACAACTGACCCCAGATGTCTATCGAGACTTTCTTGAATGGTTTGTTCATAATTTTTGACAAACCTTTTAAGACGAAAGAGGAAGCCTTTTGTTATAGGCGTCCCAGAAAAAAAACTGCACCATAAGCTCGATTCAATTAGAGGTAAAAGACTTCAATTGTTTCAATTAAATTTGATAAAATATAGTAAAATGCGGTCACCAGAATCTTGTGTTGCTTTTTGTCGGCCACCATAATGATGGGTGAAAACTACGTTGTTGAAAATAAACGCAGTATTCAATAATTTCTAATTCAAGAATTGTTCTTCTCCAGATACACATGAGATCAATATCTATACCGTAGCACGTGATAACAGGTTGTTTATTGTTTTGACAATCGACACTGGCCCGGTTGTGTACTAATATTGTGAAGTAACCTGCAGTCTCTTCAGTTGTTCTTCAAAATAAAATGGATCAAGGAGGGCTCGTGGAAGAACCTGACAAGGATGATAAAGCACGATTGGCGACATGTTTTTATATACCACAATTGTTAGGTAACATTGTAAGTAACCAAGTCGCTGTCATATTGTGTTTTTGTCTTCAATCGTGTTCAAAAATTATAACAATGAGTTCGAAACATTGACACTAAAAAATATATCGACCAGCACGTCCATTGACGTTGCCTTTCTGCTTTTACTATATATATCATTTATATAGCATTACGGCATATCAAATAGTATGCAGAACTAGAAAAATATGATATATAGCTATATATATAAAATATGCTCAGTTGACAACTCATGAGCATTTCAATGATTCAAAAAATCTATCAGACAGTATATATTTACCAAATAAGCTACTTAATATATTCAAATTTAAAAACGCGATGTGGATTTTTCATTTTTCATTTGAAATCAACAAACTTCTTCATTTCAGAAATATATTAATAAGCGTTAAAACACAAAACGTAACAACTTTTCATCCGAATAAAATTTTCCGTTTGAACAAATTGTTGTACTGCTGAAGCGAACAGACTTGAAATTATAATACATGCAGTAACAAACAGCATGCATTCTCTATATAGCATTGAGATTAGACGTTCCAATATTACAATAGGCTGCATGTCGCAGATATCAAATTTTCTGCATTTCATAATTTTAGATTGTAATCCATTGCTACAATAAATTTAGACATTCTTTGTGATGGTATGCTTTTAATAACATAAAATTCATAAACATTAAAAATCCAGTAGGCTATATAATGCAATATGGAATAATATATCTAGGATATTCCTATTGAATTTACCCAAATTTAACTCAATTATTGCACAATGATTATACTTAATCTGTAGTCATATAAGGAAACGACACTTGTGTAAGAATTACTTATTATACTCTATCACTTTAATCGGCATTGTTAAAACTCGAAACGCGTGAACAGCATCACCGTGGCTGCATGCAGTAAAGCACACACAAATGTTGAGAATGAAGATGAAGATAAATTATGGTTTATGTACAGGGAAAAAGTGCGAATATACAAGTGTTTTATCGATATCAGCTATATCAAAAGTAGATTCTATTCCACGCCATAGTTGATTTTCAACGAATTTTATAACGATTTTGTTTTATAAGCCGTAGCCGCTATACTCAAACTCACCCTGTATCATTGGCTGTCTGTTGCAATTCATTCAACTGCATGTGCAACAAAGGAGGTTAACGTACAAATTAGATAAGGATTGAGGTAAATCTTAGTGACTTAAGTCTTAATACTCACATATACTTTCACATACAAATGACTTCCTTATTCGACATTGGAAACATTATTCTTTTGTATAATAAACCAGACATCCAATGTTATGGACAGCGATACTCAGCACCACGATCATCACGACTCCTTGAAAGAGACACCTAATCAATCAAATGGAGATGGAGACTTTTCTGTGTACACCGACGACACAATGTTTACAATATCATCGAGAGAAGATGTGGATAAAATATGCCGGATCTGTTATGGTGGTGAATCGACTTATGATAAGCTTATAACACCATGTCTATGCTCTGGTTCAACGAAATATGCCCACGAGACCTGCCTATTGCAGTGGATTAATTACAAAGGATCAAGAACATGTGAACTTTGTCTCTTTAATATGGAAATACATTGCAAGGGAATTAAACCTTTTTGGAAGGTATGTATACATCATTCATTAAACAAGTGGGGATCGATATTTTCTAGTATAGCTAAGCCGGTGGTTATCGTTAAAGTTGTTCCGCGGCTAAAATATGAATTTTCTTTTACTCTAGTGGCAAAAACCAAAATCATGTGATGCGGTAACAACGTTATCTCTCTTATACAGCGTAGTAATGTTTATGTTTCTGGCCATGGTGATCTGGATAGCAAAAAACAGATGTATCTCCGCTCTCTGCATCACCTTATATTGCCTGTGTATTGTAGCAGTTGCTTATTTCTGCTATTGTTGTGGCTATCTACATTGTATGAAGCCATATTGTAGAGCATTTTGGGAAATCAATCGTCGTTGGTCTGTCGTAGCTCGCCAAATAAGTTTGGAAAATGAAGACAATTTTGATAGCGAGGTTTAATTAGGTCAAAATGTCGACTCGGACTATTTTAGGAACGTCGGTACGATAATGTTATCACTAATTCAAAACCATGAAGACAACACTCCCTGTAAAGAGGGTTCTTAAATCAGCAAACTCTTTTGAAAGTTGCGTCATTTAAAACCACTGATTGATCCGCAAACTCGTACCCAGGGTTTTCCTCGTCTGAATGTTGCGTAAACGGCGGTTTTAAAAACGGCCAGACGCCCAGACCGGCCTGTTGAATTTCAGTACAGAGCGATTACTGCATGGTATTTTAGAGTGATTCAAGAACTTTGGTCCAAATAAAGAGGTAATTTATAGGCAGAATTTAAACCCCAGTCAAACCAGAATGAGAGCTGATGAGAGTTTCAACAGCACACTATCGTGCATTCGCATCAACTGCCATCGACTTCGAACTGGTTCAAAATTTGATGAGAGTTGTTGGTATGTCGTGTTGGTATGGTCGGTCATGGGAGTTGATGAGAGTTGCATAACAGCTAGCGGTTTGCATTTTGTAGTAGCATGCAGGCTCAGCAATGTAGTAAAAAAAGTACAAAATAATCCCTGCTACGCACGCATCCCTGCATAGCATTCGGTCAACTTCACTAGTCAACTCTCGCTTCTTAAGTGTCATTCTTGTTTGCCATCGCACCAGAGTTTAGAAAACTGTCGTTCAAACTCTCTTCTCTATTCTCATCAACTCTCATTCTCGTTTTGACCGGGGCTTTAATCTTGCGCCGAGGAAGATAGCTCGTTATAATTTTGGAGAAAACAAGTAGTTATAACTTTAGAGAAAACAAGTGGATCTATATACTCGTTGAAAACAAGACTGGTCTAGTTGTATAAAGAGGTTGTTAATTAAAGAAATTATAGAGTAAGTGGTAAATCCTTAGTTGTAATTAGTAGCTTTAAATAGTTAATTACATTGCTTAATTAATAACTACAAGTTAATTGCGCGTATAGAAGTACAAGTAGATTGTGAACAGACTAAGGACTTCGTGTTTACTAAAATTATTTTTCTTGCGAAAATGTTTTTTCTTGTGCCAATTTTTTTTTTCGTGTCAATTTTTTTTCTTCAGTCTTTTTTTCTTGTCCATTTTTTTCTTGTGTGACAATTTTTTCTGTGTTCAAATTTTTTCCAGTCAATTTTTTTTGTTGTGAAAACATGTAAAATATGTAAAATATATACATAGTAAAAACATGTTGTCTTCTAAAAGGACTGAAAATTAAAAAGTCAGAAAAAAATTTCAATTAAAATTTAAAAATTTCCCGCTTCTAAAAAACTCGTGTTCACTTACCGTAATTTTTCTTCACGAAAATTTGGCAGGGTGATTTTCTCGATATTGAAAAAAATTATATTTTTTTACTTTTTTAAAATCTGCTACCGGAATAATATACACACATATTGAAGGTTGGTATTAACATGACATCCGGTGGCCCAGTGGTTAAGGATGCGGCCTACCAGTTTGTAAGGGTAGGTTCGAATCCTGCATGGGAAAGGTTCGATTTTTCACACCGAAATTACTATTTAATTTAAAATTCATCGAAAAGGATTAGATCAAATAGAGAACAATAGCTTTCGACAAATGACGCGGTGGTCTAGTGGTTAAGACGTTCGTCTCTCAATCCGAAGACAAACGTTTCAACTCCTGGCAATGCAACAAAATTAGCCTGAAAAATCTCGGTGTGATTTGGAATGCGTAAAACAGTGAAAAGACTTCTCGGACTTTGCGAAAGACTGTAAATTGAAAAAAATTTGAAATAAAAAAACTTAAAAAAAAATTATCGCGTTCAAAAGTACCTGAAAATTGAAAGAGGAGCACAAGTAAAATAAGTTTTAAAAACACGTGTCTTCTAAAAAGCCTGAAAATGAAGAAAGTCAGACGGAAAAAAAAAAACAATTTCCCGCTTTTAAAAAACTCATGTTTACTTACCTTAATTTTTTTTCACGAAAATTTGACAGGGTGATTTTCTCGAGACTGAAAAAATTTAATTTTTTTCCCTTTTTTGAAATTCTCTTAGATTTTTTTTTTTACGAAGAAGTATTTTGTCTTGGGCTACTGTGTCTGTCTTGGGCTACCTGTGTCTGGCTTGACACAGGTAGCCCAAGACAAAATACTTCTTCGTCAAAAAAAAAATCTAAGAGAATTTCAAAAAAGTGAAAAAAATTAAATTTTTTCACTCTCGAGAAAATCACCCTGTCAAATTTTCGTGAAAGAAAATTAAGTTAAGTAAACATGAGTTTTTTAAAAGCGGGAAATTGTTTAATTTTTTTCCGTCTGACTTTCTTCATTTTCAGGCTTTTTAGAAGACACATGTTTTTAAAACTTTTTTTTAACTTGTGCTTTTCTTTTAATTTTCAGGTACTTTTGAACGCGATGAATTTTTTTTGGTTATTTTATTTCAATTTTTTTTTCAATTTACAGTCTTTCGCAAAGTCCGAGAAGTCTTTTTCACTGTTTTACACATTCCAAATCACACCGAGATTTTTCAGGCTAATTTTGGTGCATTGCCAGGAGTTGAAACGTTTGTCCTCGGATTGAGAGACGAACGTCTTAACCACTAGACCACCGCGTCATTTGTCGAAAGCTATTGTTCTCTATTTGACCTAATCCTTTTCGATGAATTTTAAATTAGATAATAATTTCGGTGGGAAAAATCGAACCTTTCCCATGCAGGATTCGAACCTACCCTTACCACCTGGTAGGCCGTGGCCTTAACCACTGGGCCGTAGGATTGGTTGTTGATACCAGCCTTAATATATATGTTATTGAGGTAGCCGAGTTGTTAAGGCCACTGCCTACCAGGTTGTAAGGGTAGGTTCGAATCCTGCATGGGAAAGGTTCGATTTTTCCACCGAAATTACTATTTAATTTAAAATTCATCGAAAAGGATTAGGTCAAATAGAGAACAATAGCTTTCGACAAATGACGCGGTGGTCTAGTGGTTAAGACGTTCTTCTCTCAATCCGAGGACAAACGTTTCAACTCCTGGCAATGCAACAAAATTAGCCTGAAAAATCTTGGTGTGATTTGGAATGTGTAAAACAGTGAAAAGACTTCTCGGACTTTGCGAAAGACTGTAAATTGAAAAAAAATTTGAAATAAAATAACAAAAAAAAAATTATCGCGTTCAAAAGTACCTGAAAATTAAAAGAAAAGCACAAGTTAAAAAAAAAGTTTTAAAAACACGTGTCTTCTAAAAAGCCTGAAAATGAAGAAAGTCAGACGGAAAAAAATTAAACAATTTCCCGCTTTTAAAAAACTCATGTTTACTTAACTTAATTTTTTTTCACGAAAATTTGACAGGGTGATTTTCTCGAGAGTGAAAAAATTTAATTTTTTTCACTTTTTTGAAATTCTCTTAGATTTTTTTTTTGACGAAGAAGTATTTTGTCTTGGGCTACCTGTGTCAAGCCAGACACAGGTAGCCCAAGACAGACACAGGTAGCCCAAGACAAAATACTTCTTTGTCAAAAAAAAAATCTAAGAGAATTTCAAAAAAGTGAAAAAAATTAAATTTTTTCAGTCTCGAGAAAATCACCCTGTCAAATTTTCGTGAAAAAAAATTAGGGTAAGTAAACATGAGTTTTTTAAAAGCGGGAAATTGTTAAATTTTTTTTCCGTCTGACTTTCTTCATTTTCAGGCTTTTTAGAAGACACGTGTTTTTAAAACTTATTTTACTTGTGCTCTTCTTTCAATTTTCAGGTACTTTTGAACGCAATAATTTTTTTTAAGTTTTTTTATTTCAAATTTTTTTCAATTTACAGTCTTTCGCAAAGTCCGAGAAGTCTTTTCACTGTTTTACACATTCCAAAATCACACCGAGATTTTTCAGGCTAATTTCGTTGCATTGCCAGGAGTTGAAACGTTTGTCTTCGGATTGAGAGACGAACGTCTTAACCACTAGACCACCGCGTCATTTGTCGAAAGCTATTGTTCTCTATTTGACCTAATCCTTTTCGATGAATTTTAAATTAAATAGTAATTTCGGTGTGAAAAATCGAACCTTTCCCATGCAGGATTCGAACCTACCCTTACAACCTGGTAGGCCGCAGCCTTAACCACTGGGCCACCGGATGGCATGTTAATACCAGCCTTCAATATGTGTATATACTATTCCGGTAGCAGATTTTCAAAGAAGTAAAAAAATATAAATTTTTTTAATATCGAGAAAATCACCCTGCCAAATTTTCGTGAAGAAAAATTACGGTAAGTGAACACGAGTTTTTTAGAAGTTTGAAATTTTTTTTCTGAACATGTTTTTACTATGTATATATTTTACATATTTTACATGTTTTCAGAACAAAAAAAATTGACTGGAAAAAATTTGAACAAAGAAAAAATTGTCAAACAAGAAAAATAATGGACAAGAAAAAAAGGACTGAAGAAAAAAAATTGACACGAAAAAAAAAATTGGCACAAGAATTGCATTCTTTCATAAAAAAACATTTTAACCCAAAAATCATACTTTGGTGAATTTCGAAATTTTAGGCAAATCGGTAACGGGGAACCAAACAAAATCCTAATTTTCGTCAATTTTTTGAAATTTGAAAATTCGGTTCAAAATACCTCGAAATTGTTGAGAACTAAGTAGAATTGCATTCTTTCATAAAAAAACATTTGAACCCAAAAATCATACTTTGGTGAATTTCGAAATTTTAGGCAAATCGGTAACGGGGAACCAAACAAAATCCTGATTTTCGTCAATTTTATGAAATTTGAAAATTCGGTTCAAAATACCTCGAAATTGTTGAGAACTAAGTAGAATTGCATTCTTTCATAAAAAAACATTTGAACCCAAAATCATACTTTGGTGAATTCGAAATTTTAGGCAAATCGGTAACGGGGAACCAAACAAAATCCTGATTTTCGTCAATTTTATGAAATTTGAAAATTCGGTTCAAAATACCTCGAAATTGTTGAGAACTAAGTAGAATTGCATTCTTTCATAAAAAAACATTTGAACCCAAAAATCATACTTTGGTGAATTTCGAAATTTTAGGCAAATCGGTAACGGGGAACCAAACAAAATCCTGATTTTCGTCAATTTTATGAAATTTGAAAATTCGGTTCAAAATACCTCGAAATTGTTGAGAACTAAGTAGAATTGCATTCTTTCATAAAAAAACATTTGAACCCAAAAATCATACTTTGGTGAATTTCGAAATTTTAGGCAAATCGGTAACGGGGAACCAAACAAAATCCTGATTTTCGTCAATTTTATGAAATTTGAAAATTCGGTTCAAAATACCTCGAAATTGTTGAGAACTAAGTAGAATTGCATTCTTTCATAAAAAAACATTTGAACCCAAAAATCATACTTTGGTGAATTTCGAAATTTTAGGCAAATCGGTAACGGGGAACCAAACAAAATCCTGATTTTCGTCAATTTTATGAAATTTGAAAATTCGGTTCAAAATACCTCGAAATTGTTGAGAACTAAGTAGAATTGCATTCTTTCATAAAAAAACATTTGAACCCAAAAATCATACTTTGGTGAATTTCGAAATTTTAGGCAAATCGGTAACGGGGGACCAAAGGCAAAATCCTGATTTTCGTCAATTTTTGAAATCTCAAAATTCGGTTCAAAATACCTCGAAATTGTTGAGAACTAAGTAGAATTGCATTCTTTCATAAAAAAACATTTGAACCCAAAAATCATACTTTGGTGAATTTCGAAATTTTAGGCAAATCGGTAACGGGGAACCAAACAAAATCCTGATTTTCGTCAATTTTATGAAATTTGAAAATTCGGTTCAAAATACCTCGAAATTGTTGAGAACTAAGTAGAATTGCATTCTTTCATAAAAAAACATTTGAACCCAAAAATCACTTTGGTGAATTTCGAAATTTTAGGCAAATCGGTAACGGGGAACCAAACAAAATCCTGATTTTCGTCAATTTTATGAAATTTGAAAATTCGGTTCAAAATACTCGAAATTGTTGAGAACTAAGTAGAATTGCATTCTTTCATAAAAAAACATTTGAACCCAAAAATCATAC